CCTGGAAGATGCTGCTCCATCCTTAGTTTGCAGCATCTCTGTGCTGGTACCCAGCTGTGCCCTCACAGACTATGCCTTCTCTCTCTTCAGGCTGGTGTCTTTTGGGTGGTACAGAAAGTGGTAGGGCCAGTGGATTCCATGGTCATGTGTCACTGTCACACACCTTCTTTGCTGTGCAGTGGGTCCTTTGGTGTTGATTCGATGATACACCTTGTGACAATGTGTCAGACACTCAGTAAACACTCAAGATAGCAGTGTTGGCTGAGACCTGGCAGGCAAAAAAGGCCAACCATACAGAACACAGCAACTCCAATCAAAATTAATCGCTGCCCGTTCCCAGGATGAAAGTTATCTACTGTAGTCAACTTGGCATCAAGCAGCTGACTGTGGTCTATGAGGAATACTGATTCTAGGGGCTCGGCATTGATTTCATTGGGGGTAGACTGAACATTCAGCAATGGCAGGAACTTTATCAGCCTTTGTGAATGGGAGCCCATGTTCTTGGGTCCATGTGTTGCTCCCATCCCTGCCACCGTGGCTACTCCATTCATTGCCAGTACGAGGTGGTCACAGCATCTGGCTGGTATCGACTGGGGAGTCATTCTTTCTATTTGGTTGTTTACTGCCTCTTGCACAGTTGGTGCTCTCTGGTGGGCATCTGCTCAATTCTTGCCCAAACACATAATCCATCACATGCCTGTATCCTTGTCCTTGGTCTTCTTTATCCTTCCGTGCTCCTGTGCAACCAGCCAAGCCATGCTAGTACCATCAGTTCAGTTCAGTCGCTCAGTCCTGTCCGACTCTTTGCAACCCCATGGACTACACAGCACGCCATGGACTACACACATACTAACTCCCGGAGTCTACTCAAACTCATGTCCATCTAGTTGGTGATGCCATCCAACCATCTCATCCTCTGTTATCCCGTTCTCCTCCTGCCTTCAATCTTTTCCAGCATCAGGATCTTTTCCAACGAGTCAGTTCTTCACATTAGGTGGCCCAAGTACTGGAGCTTCAGCTTCAACATCAGTCCTTCCAATGAACATTCAGAACTGATTTCCCTTAGGGTTGACTCGTTTGATCTCCTTGCAGTCCAAGGGACTCACGAGGGTCTTCTCCAACACCACAGTTCAAAAGCATCAATTCTTCTGTTCTCAGCTTTCTTTATGGTCCGGCTCTCACATCCATACACGACTACTGGAAAAACCATAGCTTTGACTAGATGGATCTCCATTGACAAAGCAATGTCTCTGCTTTTTAATATGCTGTCTAGGTTGGTCATAGCTTTTCTTCCGAGGAAGCGTCTTTTAATTCCATGGCTGCAGTCACCATCTGCAGTGATTTCGGAGCCCAGGAAAATAAAGTCTGTCACTGTTTCCATTGTTTCCCCATTTATTTGCCATGATCTTCATTTTTTGAAAGTTCAGTTTTAAGCCAGCTTTTTCACTCTCCTCTTTCACTTTCATCAAGAGGCTTTTTAGTTCCTTTTTGCTTTCTGACATAAGGGTGGTGTCACCTGCATAGCTGAGGTTATTGCTAGTGCCTTAAGTCCATATATAGTCCAACCTTGCCTACATTTCTGTTTACAACAAGTGTGAGAGAAGTTATTCACTGGGACAATTTCCCTTGGCACCATCTTTCAAGATCACCCTAGGGTGGGGCTGTAGTGCAGCTACGGTTCTATTCCAGCGTGCACCCACACACCACTTTGACCTATAAGCAAATCAAGCTTTTTTTGCCACATCAAGTGGCATGTGGAACTTCCTGGACCAGGGATCAAACTTGCACTCCCTGCAGTGGAAGCATAGAGTCTTAACCCCTGTACTACCAGAGAAGCTCAAGCTTTGCTTTTTTTCCTCCTTGGTCAGATGGTCATAGAGACTCCACCTTCTATGCAGCTAGAGGCAGGGCTGAGGGAGAGGCATCAATGTGTATCAGAAAAGAGAATGGGTGGGGAGGATGCTCGTCCCAGATATCAGGCGAGTCCCTGGGATGTCTGCCAAGGGTGGGTTTTTGGCTTCATGCAGGTAAGAATTCAAGATCAAGTCATAGTAAAGTGAAAGCAGGTTTATTCAGGGAGATACTCCATAGACAAGAGGGTGGGCCATCTCAGGTGAGAGGCCCTGAAACATGGGGTGGTTAGTTTTTATGGGCAGGGTAATTTCACAGGCTAATGAGGTGGGAGGATCATTCCAGCTATTTCTGGAGAGGGGCCCCAGAACTGGGTCACCAGCCACTGTTTGCTCTTTTGTGCTGGGCCTTGGAACCGTCACTGGCGCTCACGGGTGTGTCAGTTAGCTGATGTATTACAATGAGCGTAACTGAGGCTCAGGTGGAAGTCGGCTTGTCTGCTGCGTTGGATCTGGCTGGTTCTAATCAGCGTACGTGTGTCCTCAGCGGCTATGGCACCCTTTGGGAGGCTTACCCTGTCCCTTCCTGTCTTCAGTGCGTAGATGCGACATGACATGGATGTCGAGGTCATCTGTCTGTGTGCCTTAATGGGCCCCCGGCCTCTCACCCCAACTCTGGATGCACCACTTACTATGGATTATTATGCCCACTCAGCTTTATGTTTTGGTGAGTCTAATAGGCAGAACCTAACTTATATAAGACAAGCTCATGATTAAGAATTTTGGATCAAGTCAAAACTATAGAAAGGGAATACACTTTTTCAACGTTGTTCTGGGAATACACAAGCAAAACAAAGTTTGTTGATGGACTGGAAGAGAGGTTAGGCTAGAGAGTACTCTTAGGGTCTGAACAACAAAGTGGTAGAGAAAATGGTATAGAAGAAATGGATTTTGAAACTTCTAAAGCTGAATGGATAGGTAGGTACAGCAATGAAGACAGCAAGCATGTTCATGTTGTCCTTTTGATGCCAAAATCTTGGCTCTCTGTGCACCAAGACCAAACAGAAATATGGAGAAAGAGTTATGGGGAGGAGGAAAAAAAGTGGTTTTATTACTTTGCCAGGCAAAGGGGGAACACAGTAGGCTAGCACTTCAAGAACTGTGCTCCCCTCCCTGGTGAACAGGTAGAGGTTATACAGTCAGGTAGGGTGTGTGATAGGGATCAAGGCAGTAACAGTCTCCCATTCTCTTGGGAAGTTTCAAAAAGGGCGAGGTTGCTGACAAAATTAGGGTCTGTGATGGGAAAGATTGAAGGCAAAAGTAGAAGAGGTTGGCAGAGGATGAGATGGTTAGATAGCATCCCTGACTCAAATAGGCATGAATCTGAGCAAACTCCGGGAAGTTTGCTCATGGAAGGGAAAGTTTGCTCATGGAAGGGAAAGTTTGCCAGGGAAGCCTGGCATGGAACAGTCCACATGGGGTTATAGAGTTAGATAGGACTTAGCAACTGAACACAACACAAGGTGTTAGGTGGTGCAGTCTGCTAATGTCGGGGAACCTCTCTGGTCCCTTTAATTTTGCTCCAGGTGGTTTCCTGACTGCTCCTTCCTTGATTAGCAAGTCTTTTGCCCTTTGAAACTCAGAGAAGGTCCTGGAGGCTGGAGGCCAAAAAAGCCTACTCACCCGGGAGCCCCACAGGGTCCAGCTTGGCGTCACTTTCAAAAACAAACCACAGCTGTAAAAGGAAAGAGAAGGGGTGGTATCTAGAAAAAGGAAGAGTTCAGGTCTTCTCCAAAGTGAACTTGACAGTGTTTATGTACTGAGGAGAAAGAGGCAACAAAGACAGGGGAAAAAAATGGCTGGATTGGAGCAGCTCAGCTGGTGTTCCTGAGAACTCATTTTGGTAAACAGAAAACAAAAACAGGAAGAAAAAAAAAAACAACAAACCCAAAAAGGAACAAAAGCAGAAGTCCTAAGCTCCTTTAAATCAAAGGAGAGTAGGAAAATTCAACCTTTCCCATTTGTTGGATTGCACCTCACAGCCCTACAAGGCTTCTGTGCTTGCCCAGCTTCCAAATGGAAGAGCGTGGAGTTAGCAACAGAGACATCAGTGGTTTGATGGGGGAGCTTACATGTCTGAAGCAAGGTTCTGAAGCAACACCCCACCCTGTGAAGTGCAGGGCAGGCAGCACATGGGTGGCAGTCTTGGCTGTGGAAGGGAGGGGGAGATGGCCAGAGGTAGGGGAACTGACTTCAGGTGGGCTCATTAGTTACCAGGGAAAAGAGCAGAGGGACATGCCCTTCACCACCCCTTTGATAAGCTATCACTAGCTGGGGTCTGGGGCAAGTACCTAGAAGGGTGTAGGAAGGTCAATCGTGAGTAGGGTGTAAGTGAGGCAGGTACAGGTCTGGCAGGGCAAGCACAGAGCGAAGGCGAATCACCATCCTGAGTGGCCTGACCATACACCCTCACATCCGCTTCCAGCCATCCTACCACCAGTGAGAAAAGCTTGGCTCCACAAAACATAAAATACCATTTTCTGTTATATACCCATTTCTCCTTATCTCAACGGAAAATAAACATCAATAACAATCACCAGAGTAAAATCAGACAGTCTGGATAGATGTAAATTTCAGCCCCCAGTAAAGCAATTTTTTTTTCCTTTTTGGAGAAATATCTTTTATTAAGACCACATAAAACTGCTCATGTAGGTACATTAAGTGCGAAATTTCTAAATGCACTCACTGCCTTGGAATGAGCAGTCTGTCACACGAAGACTTCCTTTTACGGTACTGTAACATATAAGCTTAATATAAGTTTAAAAAATAAAAGAATTTGGTGTAAGGTTTTCCTGCTGGACATCCAGCCCTTTCGTTTTACCGAGGTTGTGCACAGAACAGTCATTTAATACTCTTTAAGATCATTTAGCCAGGCTGTTCTGGGGGAGTGACAAGTAGGTTTGAGGAAACCTGTTTACCTTCTCACGCTGTCACCTTCGGGTCAAAGAAGGACGGCTACTACGCTACCAGGGCCATCTGCCCCCAACTGACTGCATTCTGCTGCTCTTTTACGAAAGGGCTACCGCATTTCCACACTGAGGTGGGTCACCTGCCCAAGCAGCTCTCTTGACAGCGTCCTAGGCTCTAAGGATGCCCCACTGGCCCGCTCTCGGTCGAGGAGTCGCAGAGAGAGGATCGGTGCTCAGTGGTCCTGGCTCGTTCAGCGCTTCCGGGAAAGCCCGCGGGGAGGCCGAGGCAGGCCCGGCAGGGTCTCCATCCACCAAAGGTGTCTACACTGTCCCGCCCCCAGCCCCCAATCTGGATATCCCCAGCGCCTCGTGGACGCAAAGCCAAGATCCCACCCTCACCCTAGACTCAAATTAGAGGCGACGATCTCAAGCCTCTCAAAACAATCGACAGGGCACTGAGCCGGGTTCTAACAGGCCCTAGCGGGGCTAGATCCGGCGGCCGGAAGATGGCGGCGGCGGAGGGGTCCGCCGGTCACTCTACGAGCCGCCCTTGACTAGTTCTCGCCGCCGCGCCACCTACCTTGCTAGCGAGGGGTCCAGGCTCGCCGCGCGAGGGGGCAGTGACGAGCACCTGGCGCCACCAATCAGAACCCGGAGTCCGGACCGCGCCCAATCAGGGCCGGAGGCGGAGACTGGTGGTAGGGTGCAAGTTGGCCCCGCATGTGGTGGACGCGGAACGCTTGGGATCGCTTCGCCAGCTTCGCCGCTTTCGGCGCGCTCTGCACCCCGGCCTCTGGCACCGGCCTGAGGAGGCCGAGGAGGCAGGGGGCCGAAAGGGCTGTTCTGCTGTCGGCCCTCCGGCGTTGCGGCCGGAACCTCGGAGAGCCTGCTGCAGCGGTCGCGGGCCCACCGCCGCGGCCGGTGCCTGGACCGACTCTCTCTCTCAAAGGAGACTTCTCCTCAGCGGTTGCTGCAGAGGGAGATGAAGGACCTGTTAGACCGTGAGACGACTTCGGGGCCGGCCAACTAGGAGGACTCGGCGAGAGGGCGCCCGTACCCTCCCGGCCTTGCTCCTTTGGCGCCGTGAGCGAGGTGTCGCTCTCCTTCGGACGCGCGGCGTGTGCACGGGGCCCCGGCGGGGCGAGCGGGCGGCATGTTCCCGCGTAGGCCGCCGGCCGGCCTGGCCGCCTGGCTGGTGGGCGCGGCGGCGGCCGGGCGCGCGGGCGCGCGGGGCGGGGGCCTGCTCGCCCTGCTGGCCAATCAGTGCCGCTTCGTGACGGGCCTGCGCGTGCGGCGCGCGCAGCAGATCGCGCAGCTCTACGGCCGCCTGTACTCGGAGAGCTCGCGCCGCGTCCTCCTCGGTCGCCTCTGGCGCCGGCTGCGCGGACGCCCGGGCCATGCCTCTGCCTTGATGGCGGCGCTCGCTGGCGTGTTCGTGTGGGACGAGGAGAGGATCCGGGAGGAGGAGTTGCAGAGGTGGGCTCGGTGGCGAGGTCGTGCTTCCTCTCGGGGTTGGGGGCGGCGGGGCTGGGAGGTGGAAACCTTGAAACCTGGGGCCGGCCTTGGCGATCACTGTCTCCCGTTGACCGGGTGGTACTGGAAGTGACGATGCAAGTAGTTTGATCTGGTTGTAGCAAACCCACGTTTCTACATTGCTTCTGCGGGTTAACTTGATTGTTTGAATTAGAAATAACTGCAGGTGTAGGCTAGTGGAGAGGGGGACTTTGGGGGAGCGTGCCACTATAGAAATAACGTTTTGGGGACTTCCCTGGTGGTCCAGTGATTAAGAAGACCGTTTCTAATGCAGGAGGCGCAGGTTCCATCCCTGGTCAGGGAACTAAAATCCCATATGCTGCAGGGTGCGGCCAATTTTCTTTTTTTGACTACTTAAAAAAAATAACGTGGGAAGTTGGTATTGAAGACATGTAAGCTATTGCTCATGTAATATTTCATTCTTTCAGGAAGATGCAAAGGCTGCCCAGGTGGCACAGTGGTAAAAGAGACATGGGTTCGATCCCTGGTTGGGGAAGATCCTCTGGAGGAGGAAATGGCAACCCACTCCAGTATTCTTGCCTGGAAAATTCCATGGACAGAGCGGCCTGGGGTCGCAGAGATTCGGACGACTGAGCAAGCACGCTCGCATACAAGGTGCAAAAACCAAACAGGTTTTAAAATGGACCTGAGGATGTAGATAGGCAATTTACAAAGTTACTTTATTCCAAATGGGATTTGTGAGAAATACCAGGAGAGCTCTTTTGTCATTGTGACTCATGGCAGGATTATGAGACTGGAAATTTTGCCCTCCGGGGGCAAACCATTAGCCTACACATTTTAACTTGGAAGAATTAGGTCAGTTTTTCTTGCTGCTGCTGCTAAGTCACTTCAGTTGTGTCCAACTCTGTGCGGACCCCATAGACGGCAGCCCACCAGGCTCCCCCGTCCCTGGGATTCTCCAGGCAAGAACACTGGAGTGGGTTGCCATTTCCTTCTCCAACGCAGGAAAGTGAAAAGTGAAAGGGGAGTCGCTCGCTCAATCGTGTCCGCTCAATCGTGTCCGACAAGCCGCGACCCCATGGACTGCAGCCTACCAGGCTCCTCCGTCCATGGGATTTTCACTTCCACTAGAACTCCGAGGGTTTCATTAGGCTCTGTAATCATGTTGTCATCATCAAAAAACCTCTGTGAGAAGTATAGTACCATTAGTTGATTTTGATCTGTGACTCTAAACTGAGCCCTTACAGTTTTCATGTAGTGTCATGAGGAAACCTTGCTTTGGGTCATGCTTTACATTGTTGTTGTATTTTTTTTTTTTTTAAACGAAAAATGTGTGTCTCTCCACATATTCTGCCCCCTGAACTCTGAAACTGATTTCAGGAACCTCGGATAGTCCCCCTACCTCGGATAAATTCCAATACAAGTCTATTCTAGCCATTTCTTCTGTTATTTCACACTTTTGGTTAGGTTAAAGTGGAAATACTTCAGTAAAGTTAACACTGTGATCTGTCTAGAAGTGTAGCACCCAGATGCCAGGCAACATTGTGAGTTGTCGGTAAATGCAAAGTGTATCTTTAGAGCTGGTAATAATTTTCCTAGCAGTAAAAAGGACTGTTTTACAAGTGCAGTTTAAACTCATAACCATGAACAACCTTACTCAAAAATGTTAAGGTGTCAAAGCATGAGAGGTGGTCTGCCTAGTTTCTGTTAGTGTTTTGGGGATCTTGTCCGTTTGTTCTGATGGTGTTCTCAGGTATGAGAAATATGGGAAGATAACTTCTTAGTTGCAAAATTACCAACCAACTGTTTGAATTTGCATTCTGTTTTTGATGATGATAGAATACCCATGTTCCACAGTCGTGAAGTTTGAGGGAAAAAGTCCTAGTTGGATTTGGTTTGGGAAAGAGAAAGACGAGGAAAGGACCTCTGGGTGCCCTATTGGGAATAGGAGTTGAGTAGTGTTGGGGCCCGGGTGATAGAGTTCATACTATTTCTTCGTGTATTTTTATTGATGATATGTTCTAGAACCCCTGTTCAGTAGGTCTCCCACTTCCAGGAGCTGGAGGGGAAAACAGGAAAAGAAATAGATGTGCTAAACATTTGAGTTCATAGTCACTACCCGCTGTGGGAGAAAGAAATCAGACAGTTGAAGCACTTGGTTCTAATCCAGCTCCTAAAGAGGTATTGTTCTGTATTAACCCGCTTGGGGTTAGAAGCTTAGACAAAGGCCGTAAGAGCACTTAAGGTGCCCTTTTTGACCCTCCCCAGCCTTGTTCCAGTAAAGGTCCTCATTTAACTCTCCATGTCCAGTTCATTCTTGAGTTCAGTCATATACTTAAAATTTGATCAAGTCCATTTTGAGGATTTTTAGAAATGTTATCTTGATGGGGGGGTTGGCAAATGATATGCTGTCAACTGTATCTTGGTTGTATGGTGATTTCAAAGATCTTTGTTCTTTTAGCTTGTCATGTTTGTATTTTATTATTAATTAATTTATTTTGGTTGCACTGTGTGCAGCTTGCTTAGTTTCCTGGCTGGGGATCCAAACCACGCCCTTGGCAATGAAAGCAAGGGATCCTGACTGCTGGACTGCCAGGGAATTCCCATATTTTATTGAATAAGATATTCTGGGTACAGGTTAACCTTTTTAGGTTTGGTGGGTTTTTTATGTATATTTTAAACTTTTATATTGGTGTATAGCCAATTAACAATGTTGTGGTAGTTTTAGGTGAACAGCAAAGGAACTCAGACATACATATACACGTATCCATTCAATCCCCAGATTCCCTTCCCATCCAGGCTTGGGCTTTGTGCTTTAAGTATTTTGTTTGCTTTACAGGATGCACTGCTGAAGTTAGAAGATCTTAGATTTTGTTGGCACTGGTTAGATGATTTTGGGTAGCTTCCAGAATGAGCATAGTCCACTGTGCCTCGGGACATGTGCATTTCTTTCATTGTTCGTGGAAGAAGAGCTGATTGTCCCATGGCCCCTAAATCACGGCCTTTGGCTCTTCTGTGCCATTTCTGTACCAGCTTGTCCTGGTGCACTCATTCTGACATTGCTGTTGTCACACAGTGATGGGCTGGAAGGCTCCCTTTTTAATGCGAATATCGTAAATAAGAACTCATTAATTGAGAATCAGTATGAAAACTTGGAGAAGGCAATAGCACCCAACTCCATTACTCTTGCCTGGAAAATCCCGTGGACAGAGGACCCTGGTAGGCTGCCATCCATGGGGTCGCGAAGAGTTGGACACGACTGAGCGACTTCACTCTCACTTTTCACTTTCCTGCATTGGAGAAGGAAATGGCAACCCACTCCAGTGTTCTTGCCTGGAGAATCCCAGGGATGGGGGAGCCTGGTGGGCTGCCGTCTATGGGGTCACACAGAGTTGGACACGACTGAAGTGACTTAGCAGCAGCATGAAAACTTGAGGAAAGAAGTAAATTGTTCTCGTTGATAGGCCAGGTGTAGAAATCAGGTCTTTTAATGCTTAGTCTAGCTTTCTTACCTGATTGACTTCAATTAAATGACCAGACAAAATAACCACTGTTTTTGGTGCTGGCTGGCATTCTGTGAGCGCAGGGCAAATCTTATGGAAAAATACTACTAGTAATTTTTTTTTTTTTGGAACATTAAAAAAAATTACAGGAACAAAAAGAAGGAAGTTAAGAAATATGAAAGACTAGGGGAAAATGTTCCATTAATTTCCCTCCTTTTTAAAAAAAATTTATAATACATTGCTATTGAAATTTGAATAAATTTGTACCAATAAAGTTTCATGAAGAAAATTAGCCATTTTCCTATTTTAGCCTTTAAACTTTTCACTGTGTTGTTAATTAGATACATGATCACGAAAAAGTCCTTTTGGCTTAAAGGGACTTCTTCCCCCCCCACCCCACTGTCACTTAAGGATGTTTTTATTCCCATACATTCTTAGATAATCAGAATTATGTAAAAGCTGAGGGTTTTTTTTTTTTTTGAGATTGTCTTCATTATTTGATGGTTAACCAGTTGGCTGAGAATTGCAAGGAGCTTTTGATGTCTTATTTCCGTGTATGTCCCATGACAGTTGTTCTTCAAGGTCTTTAACTTTGACAATAATTGGGAATTTGAGGAGGGGATCATTGAAACAAAGCAGTGTTACTTTGGTAAATTACTCATTACAGGAATGGCTTCATTTGAGTCATTTTGGAGCCTTATGTTAAGCTCTACACTTAGGGTAGGACTCCCCTAGATGAGCCTAATATGATTATACTCATTTTTTTCATTTTCATGATTTTATGCCTTCGATTTCCTTAGCTTTCCATACAGCCTTTCTTAAATGTTGAAATGACTTTAGTTTTGAAGAAAGGAAAGCATTGACTATCTTTCTTTGATCCTCTTACTAATCTGGTTCTGCTGCTATTTCGGGTTTAATCTCTTTTGTCCTGTTTCTTCCCTTGTTACTTAAGTCTCTTAGATAACAAGGTGTAGGCAACCATCCCCTTCAAATAAGATTTGACACAGCAGGCTAATGGGATACATAGTGAGAGGTGTTTTTTTTTTTTTTTATTCTTCACACAAATGATAGTGACAGTGCTGATGTCTGTCATGTCAGCATTTAGAAATTGAGACCCTTCTGAGATTCTTAAACCTGGGACAATAATTATTGACATTTTCATGATGCAGTCTTCTAGCATTCATATTGTGCTGTACAAAGAGTGAGTGTCATACCTTCACAAGACATTGCTATCCCCTCTAGGGACTCAGTCTCAAGATTTTTCAAGGTCACATAGTGACCTTTAATCTTAAGAAGCTGATTAAGCAGTGGGTCAGAAGCTCTGTACCACTTTGAGTCTTAGAAGGCCATTAAAAATATTGCCTATAGTCATATAGTTTAATTTTCTTAAAACCATATTACTATATAATTTTATGAGCCTCTGATGTATTTTTCTCAAGACGTTCCTGCCCCTCTTCATTATGTGGTAAGGACATTCAAGAGTCCAGCTTATTTTTTTTGAAGGGTGCTCTACTAGTCCTCAACAGACCATGATTGGTCCTACATGATACCTGCATTGTTGTTCTCACAGCCAAAGCTAGCTGTGTCTTTACTTTTGCTTTCTCCTCTGCAAGACCTTATTGCCTACTCTAAATTTCCTTCCCTATTTCTCTATGGTTTTTGCAATGATAGCAGACAATCCTGTTTTGCAATGTTCAATTCACATTGAAACTTTTAAAAAATGGTTAAACGTTTTTCATCAGAACATCAATATAAATTGACTGGCTAGTGTTATCAGTTGCAAACAAAGAAACTGATACAGGTTAACTCTCTCCAAAAAGGGTTTAATCAGAAAGGTGTTAGGATGCACAGAGCATTGAGGAAGGCCAGGGAGAACACAGGGTGGCTGGGAGGATAGCCAAGACCTGCTACAGGAGCGCTCTTCTTTGGACAGTGTTGCTGGTTTTGTTTCCCGCAGATCTGTTGCATTTCTCCTTCCAGATAAGTGAGGAAATCTGAAAGGTCCTGTGCCTTGTGTTATTTCCTCAACACTTGAAGCCTCTACCAAAAGTCTCTGATTAACCTCATTTGATGAGGAGTTAACGTGATAACTGCTAGGGCATAAGAGGGGGACTGGGCTGTATCTCACCTAGTTGGGAGTTCTCCTTAATAGGAAAAGATTTCAGGTGGTCAAAACATAAATGTCCTCGTACATAAATACTTTCATTGAAGTTCAAAGTTTAAAGTTCAGAGAATTGGAATAAACCTTCAAGGAATAATTTGCTCATGTTACAGGTGGAACTGGGGAGCCTTTGCAGGTAAAATGACTTGTAAATCACAGTTCAAGTTAGCAGAGCTGGGACTAGAACTCAGATCTCTGTGCTATCGTTTGGATGGCTCTAAACTTTTAATCGTGGGTTACTGGTATGATTTTGAATTTTTGACTTCTAAAGCAGTGTATTAATGTAATCTTTTAATAAGAATTTGAATTATTGAGGCCTACCTCCATATTTATTTTACTCACTTTATTCTGCAAACACTTATTGGGAATGTAATGTTTACCAGGTACTTGCTAGGAGCCATTTTAGTAAGGAGGAGAGGCATAAAGACAGATTAATTATAATATAGTGCAGTATGTTTCTGTAGAGGAATAAAAGTAAATGTGTATGGTTAACCCTTTCTTGGAGTTAGCCTTGAGCTTTATGGGTTTTTTAAAAATTTATATTTTTATTTGTTGACTGTACTGAGTCTCGGTTACGGCACGTGGGATCTTTAGTTGTGCCATACAGACTCTTGTATGTGGGACCGATTTCCCTGACCAGGGGTTGAATCGTGTCCATTGGCATTGAGGGCACAGAGACATAGCTGCTGCACCACCAGGCAAGTCCCCTTGTGTGGTTTTTGAAGGTTAAAGAGGAGTAAGAAAGGGCATTTCAGACAGAACATATCAGTAGGTGGTATCTTCAGTCTTGAATTGTAAAAGTGATATAGCCAGCCAGCAGTCTTGCTTACCTAACTGTTGTTTAAAGATTAAAGGGAATGGGCTTCCCTGGTGGTCCAGTGGTTAAGACTGTGCTTCCGCTGCAGGGGACACAGGTTCAATCCCTGGTTGTGGAACTAAGATCCCACATGCCATGCAGCATGGCCAAATTAAATAAATAATGAAAAATTAAAAAAAAAAAAGATTAAAGGGAAAACCGTGTTTTTTTAAAAAATGGTACTGGGACAACTGGAGATGCATGTGCAAAATAGTGAATTGACACCCCATACCTCACACTGTACACAAAAATTAAAATGGGTCAAAGACCTAAATGTAAACTAAAACTTGTAGAAGAAAATATAGGCATAAATTCTTACGATACTGGATTAGGCAGTGGTTTCTTAGATATAATACCAAAAACATGAACAGCCAAAGAAAAAATAGATTAGTATGACTTCCTCAAAATTGAAAACTTCTGTACAGCAAAAGTTACTATCAAGAAAGTGAAAAGATGGCCCACAGAGTCAGAGAAAATATTTGTAAATATTTAACAGGAGACTTTCGTTCAGAATATATGAAGAACTTTTAAAACTTGACAGTAAAGACAACCCAATTTAAAACAAAGATTTCAATAGCTCTTTTCTCCAAAGAAGATACACAAATAGCCCATAAGCACATAAAACTGTGCTCGACGTCATTAGTCATTATACCCACTAGGATTGCTAGAATAAAAAAGATGGACATTAACAAGTGTTGGCAATGATGTGAAGCAGGTGGAACCCTCATGCACTGCTCGTGTGAATTTAGAAATGGAAAAACTGCTTTGGAAAATAATTTGGCACTTGCTCAAAAAGTTAGAGTTTCCCAGACCCAGTAAATCTACTCCTAGGAATTTACCAAAGACAGCTGAAAGGTTTTGTCTGTACACAAGTTGTATGCAGATAACTATAGCAATATTATGCATAATAGCCAAAAAGTAGAAAACACATGTCCATCACCTGATTAATGGGTAGACAAAATGTGATATATCCATACAGTGGAATGTTATTCAGCCGTAAAAGCAATAAACTAGAACATGAGTGAAACTTGTATATATTACTAAGTGAAAAGAGCCAGACCCAAGAGGCCATATATTGTAAGATTTCATTTATATGAATTGTCCAGAGAGGCAAACTCACGGATACAGAAGTAAGTTAGTAGTTGTCAGGGGCTATAGAAAGTAACTGCTATGGGTAAAGATTTCTTTGGGGGTTGGTGACAGTGTTCTGAAATTGGTGGTAATGGTTGTACAACCTTGGGAGACTAGACTGAAAAGCACTGATTTGTATGTAGTAAAAGTATAATTTTTTATAGCAAGTGAATTCTCTCTTTAAAGGAGGAAAAATACGTAAGTACTCTTAAAATGTGATAGGAAGACAAGAGAATAAAAAATGGGCATGGGATATCAAATGACATTTCATAGGCATAAAATGTGAGGGCTAATTATATGGCTAGTATTAAGCACTTTACATGTAAATTTAATTTTTATAATCAACCTTTGAAATAGGTACTATTATCATCCCCAAATTTACAGGTTAAGAAATAGGGATTGTTAAGTAATTTAATATTCTCATTGATGAATGTTAGACTGGGATTCAGACTCAGGAACTCATATTTTTATTCCCTACACTTTATACTGTTTTAAACCCACACCGCTCTGTGTAAGTCTTTGTGTGGCCAGTTCATTTTTCAGGGCTGACTCTAACCACCCCACCACACCTGTTGGTTTTCTCCTCTCCAGATCCATTGATGAGATGAAACGGTTGGAGGAAATGTCAGGTATGTTTCGGAGCTCTGGAGTTGAGCGCCACCCCCCAGAACCAAAATCCCAGACAGAAGGGATTGAAGATTCAGGAGGCAAAGAGCAGCCATGGGAGATGGTGATGGATAAGAAACACTTCAAGCTGTGGCGGCGTCCCATTTCAGGCACCCACCTCTACCAGTACCGAGGTGAGCCCGGCCCGGCTGGGGGCGTGTGTTGCCCCGCTGGGTGCACGGCACTCTGTTCTCTTACGCTCTGTTCCGGTTCTGTCCCGGGAGAGCTGCCCTGTGTGCTGTTGGCGTCTCCTCCCTGACGACGAGAGTCTCCTTTCCTGTGTTACACTCTGCCATAGGTCGTCTCTGTCGTACATTGTTGCTCCAGTGTGACTTCTGGTTTCTGAATCTGCCTTTAAGATCTGTACGTCAGTACTCTGCGGTTGAAATGCCGTTAAGTGATAGGAATAGAGTGAGTGATGAGTGTGGCAAACATTGCTTATTCTTTGTTCTAGTGTTTGGAACCTACACGGACGTGACACCGCGGCAGTTCTTCAATGTTCAGGTGAGTACATTTCTCCTCCCAGATCTGGAGCTGCTGAGACTAGATGTCCTCTTGCCATTGTCCACATGAGTGATTTCTCTGACTGATAAGAGGTTGGCTTCAGTCCACCCATCTCTCTGCCCCACATTTAATGTCAGATAGCCTCTTGGTGGCCTTTGACTTACAGTTTGCCTGCTGGGGATGAGGCCAGTTCTGCTCTTTATAAGGCTGTTGGGAAGATCAAATAGAGGAAGGATTTGAGTGCTTTAATATATTTTATAAGACTATAGTTTTTTCCCCCTAAACAATTTGAGGGCAAGTTACATACCCTTTATTCCAAAAGCCTTCAGTGTGTATTTCCTAAGAAACTGGACATATTCTCCTAACTAGCCATGGTACCATTATCAGAGTCAGTAAATTTAACTGATGCAACTCTGATAGAATCTTTGTATTCCAGTTTTACCTGTTGGCTTAGCGATGTCCTTCCCCTTCAGTACAGATGCAGTCAGGACTCAGCAATCTGGAACTTGTCCACAGTAAAGGTGTTTGTTTAATAAAGATAAGAATATGTGTTCAAAGACTCTGTTCCTCCTTGCGGGGAAATAGAGAAAAGGGGAGCTGGGATCACCTAAAGTTCTACAAAATTTGTTTTTTCCTTGCTGGAGTTCTCATGTTTTACTGGACTTTGAGTAACTAGTGTGTTGATTATAACACCCACTGCTAACACACAAGTGCACGCTTTCCCCTAAGCACTGAATTCTCTCGATCTGTATTGAATTTTTGTTGATTTGAATGTGTATGATATGTGTCTTACTTTGAGATTCCTTAGTTCTTAGTGATGTTAGAAATTTTTTTTTTTTATAAATTTTTAAAATAATGCCACTTGTATTTGTGTGAGGTGTCTGCCCGTACTTTTGGACTTTTTGTCTGTTTAAAACTTTTTGGAATTATTTCATCCTTACAGATTTCTATCACTGTCTACTACTGTATTTTCTCTAGACATGTCTATGACAATATTTTCTTCTTACACTTGGGTTTTTCTTTTTTTTTAAGGTTCACTTTAAAAGTAATGGGATTGGCCTACAGGAAGGGATTTAATTAAAAGACTCATCAGTAGTAAACACAGCTGTGTCTTGACACTTGGGCACTGCTTTTTAGGTCAGATCAGTTTCAGAAGAAGGTTCTTGGGTAAGAGGCCCACTCATCTGGAGAAGTCTTCTGTAGCTTTGTTTTGGATCTCTTGGGTCTTCATGGTCTTTGTTCTTTCTGTAGCTGGATACAGAATATAGGAAAAAGTGGGACGCCCTGGTGATCAAGCTGGAAGTGATCGAGAGGGATGTGGTCAGTGGCTCTGAGGTTCTTCACTGGGTGACCCATTTTCCTGTGAGTATTGTCACCTCTGGTTTTGCTTTGATCACGTCCACGTGAGACAGAGCCCTGATCCTCTCACCCCTCCTCTTCTTTAGTACCCGATGTACTCACGGGATTATGTGTACGTTCGGCGGTACAGCGTGGATGAGGAGAACAACGTGATGGTGTTGGTGTCACGGTACGTGTGCTGAGCAGTGCCTCCCGCCGAGTCCCTTCAGCTTGGCCTTCATTCACATGTGTCTGCTGGGAGTCTGCTTGTCTTGTGAGTGAAGCCAGGGTGCCGTGCGTCCCAGCAAGAATGTGAGAGGGCTGGGACTGGTGACTGTCTCAGAGGGTTTCATCAAACTAATTCTTCAGTTCCTTAATGCTGATAATTAAAAGAGACACTGTCTTCTTAACACAAAGCCTACTGAGGCAGGAAACACCGAGGAAACTCACTCTATTTCATGGCTTTTCTGATGGAGTCATTTAAGTTAAGAGGCTGCCTTTACTTCGTAACTTCAGCTCTGGTGGGCCTGTGTGTAGACGGTTCTCAGTTTCTCTTGCCTCTCTCCCTGCCAGTGCTGTGGAGCACCCGAGTGTGCCCGAGTCTCCGGAATTCGTCAGGGTCCGGTCATACGAGTCCCAAATGGTTATCCGTCCACACAAGTCATTTGATGAGGTGAGTTGTACATCATCCGAGATGTGATGGGTTAGCGGTTTATGAATTTTCTCAAGGAAAAATGCCTTTTGTCTGAACTGGGGAGGGCATGCTGGCTCTCCAGCTTGGCTTGCATCGGAGCCACTGGAGCTGTGGCCTGAGATTTGCATGTTTTAAGCTCCCAGGTGAGGCTGGTGCTGCTGGCCTGGGAACCACACTTGAGGACCCCTCCTGTAGAGTGGTGTACCTGGAAGACCCTTGAGACAAAGTAGTGATGACCCCTTGGCTCCTGTTACCTGAGGGGCAGCTATGAGAAGATGATGGCCCTGACTCCTACAGGCTTGTTGGTGGCGTTCAACCAGAGCGAGCTACCCTTTCCATCAGAATTCCCACCGTGGGCAGAACACTTAACACATTTCTGGACTCCTGTTTCCTTATCAATGCTGTCTGCTTTCTTGAACATTTTATGACCTTTCTTTGCAAAGAGTATTTTTTTCAACTTAGTGTGGTGTTTTATTTTTGATGTTTTAGCCAAATCTCTGTTGAGCGTACATACTGATTGTGGTTGCTGTTTTTAGTCCTGTTAACTTTGAAATCACTTTGTTTTTCCCCATCGCTTTTGTTTTAAAGCTGTATGTTCTCTTAGCTGTGCTTTTGTTTTCAGCAAGTTGTTTTACTTACACCATCGTATAATGGGACTCTTAAGCGTGACAGAAACCTTGGTTTGCCTCTGTCAGTGTGGTGTTTTACGGGGAGGTGTATGTTGATGTTTGTACCGTTTTAGAGCAATTTTTTTTTTTTTTTTTTTTTTGCACATGGGATCTTTACCACCAGGGATCGAACCCCTGCCTTGGAAGCTCAGAGCCTTAACCAGTGGACTGCTAGTAAAATCCCATAAAGCAGTGTTTTTCAAACCATGCATTGCTACCCACTAGTGGAAGACAGACTTAATTAACTGCTTGAAAAGGAATAAATAGAAACAATGTAAGCATATTTTATGAAACTTTTGTTTGATTACATATGTACAAGTATATGTGAGAGAGAGGCTGAGGAAGAAAGAACTTGGTTGGCAGTGTAGAAAGTATTGTTTCCAGTGTGTTGTAAGTGAATATAGTTAAACATGTTTCAAAGTCCTTACATTAGAAGCAAGAATGTTGCTATTGCCTGGGCAGGCTGGGGACTGTGGGAGTTAGAAGTATGCCTCATGCTTTTCTTTGATGTTGCTTCTGAAATTTGAACCTTGTCCCTATATTTCCTGTTTGGGGGGAAAAAAGTGACTGGAGTGCCCAGCATTACCGCCTTTTGAAACCCTGACCATGAAATGGCTAAGGCAGAGTCGGGCCACCAGTGGAGTCTGTTGTCAGTAAATAGCTTCTTTCAGCTGAGGTGGGGGAACAGTATGCTGTCTGTGTAAGTATTGTAGCGTATTGTGACAAGCTCTTAGGAGAAAGGTAAGACTTGAGTTGGTTCTTACAAAAAAGCAGCCTCTAGGTAGAGGAAAACAGGAAGGACCCTGGAGGTAGAAGACATGATTTCATGATCCAGCCGAAGACGAAGGAAGGAGGGAACCTTGGATGTTGAGAGACTCAGTGCTTAGAGAGGAAGGCAGAATTTAGGGAGGAGTGGTGATTCCTTGACCGTGTATAGAAGATACTTGAAAACCAGGAGCTGAGTTTGGATTTGCCAGATGGAACGAAGATCCTGAGCCATGGTGTGGTGTTTTTTTGTGGCTGTGCTGCCAGGTTACAAGACCTCAGCTCCCTGACCGGGATTGAACCCAGGCCACGACAGTGAAAGCCTGGAGTGCTCACTCCCAGGCCATCATGGAACTCCCCAGTTTCACTTTTTATTAAGGAAAATTTGAGATATAGACAAAAGATAGAGAAGTAGAGAGAATAACATAATGCATGGACTCTGTATCCTCCCTCGACTCTGGCAGTGACCACACACTTGGCCAGACTTGTTTTATCTGTACTTTTTCTGGTCACTTTCCCACAACCCTAATTTATTTTGAAGCAGATTCTAGTGAAGGACTGAAGAATTTCCTCTATACATATTTTAGTTTTTATCTCAAAAAGAAAGATTTTTTGAAAACATAATATCGTATTCCCTAATATATAACATCTGTAGTGTTCACGCTTTCCTGATCATCCATGAATTTTTTTGTATTTATTTGAATCAGGATTTCAGATAAGATCCAGATATTGAAATGTGTTCACACCATAGCTCTGCATCTATATCTTGAGTTCTCCCTCCGTTTTCCCCGCTTGGAATTGTATTTATTGAAGCAGCAGTTTCTTTGTCCTGGATTTTGCTGGTTATGTTCCCATAGTGTCATCTGATGTTTTTCTGTCCCCTGTGTTCCCTGTATGTGGGTACTTAGAGCTAGAGGCTTGAACAGATTCAGGTTATTTGCTTGGAGCAAGACTGCTTTATTAAAAGGTATATAATGTCAGGTTTTGCCTTTTTATACAGTTCATGGGGTTCTCACAGCAAGTATACTGGAGTGTTCTGCCATTTCCTCCTCCAATGGATCACATTTTGTCAGAACTCTCCACTGTGAACCAACGGTCTTGTGTGGCCCTGCATGGCATGGCTCATAGCTTCATTGAGTTAGCAAGCCCCTTCACCATGACAAGGCTCTGATCCCTTTCTTTGTGAATTCAGAGATGATTGATGAATATTACTCAGCTCAACTATTAGAAGTTACAAAATACTATTTGTATGAACTCTTCATTCTTTCTTCGCTTATTTCTGTTTATTAGATGACATACTTGAAAGTCGCTCAGTCATGTCCAGCTCTTTGCAACGCCATGGACTATACAGTTCATGGACTTCTCCAGGCCAGAATACTGGAATGGATAGTTGTTCGCTTTTCCAGGGGATCTTCCCAACCCAGAGATCAAACGCAGGTTTTCTGCATTGCAGGTGGATTCTTGACCAGCTGAGCCACCAGGGAAGCCAGTATTTGAAAGTTTATACATTAACTATTTGATCTCATATAGTTCACAGAGGAAAGGGAAATAAGAAAGATGCTGATTTGTTTCCTTCATTTACTAGTTTTTAAAATATTGAATTGGTTCTTTCAACAAGCAGTCCTCCAAAGGTTAAAGTTTTTATTTCTTAAAGAAATGATGGGACTTACCTGGTGGTCCAGTGGTTAAGACTCATACTTCCTATACAGGGGGCCTGGGTTCAATCCTGCATGCTGTGCAGTACGGCCACAAGAAAAAAGAGGTACTATTAGAAATGCAAAGATTTAAGCATATCTGGTTTGTTTTACAGTCACTTTTATCTAGGGTCCTCTTATTGACCAGAGTCCTTTTGACTTGACCTCAGAAACTCTCCTGTCTTCTGGTGCTATGTTTCAGGTTCACCTTCTATAGTTTAGGTGTGAATCTGAAAATGAGCATTTCTTCTAAGAGCCTTAATACCACACTTTGGCATCTAGAAGTTCTCGTATTTCTGGGCCTGTTCACTCTTAAGAGTAATTCAGCTTACATCCCTGTTCTTTCTACTCATTTAATTCCTTCTTCCTGATGGCAACTCTTTTCAGTTTTGACTTTTTTCAGTATAGGCAGTAGTGGATGAGAACCCAGGACTTTGGACTTCTCAATCCAAGTGCTTTATGGGAAGGATCATTTCAAGTTTTTTTTATATATATTAGCTCGTGTTGTCTCCTAGCCAGCCTTCGTGGTGTTACTTGTTCCCACTGTGCAGGCTTCACCTCTCCTTCTTCTTTACTTCTGTGGCATTCAGTCTGTATCTCTGTTACAGCACCTGTTTGTCCTATTAATTGGAAATTCCTGAGGGCAAGGACTAGCATGTTCTTATCTCCCGTTTAGTGCCTCGCACAATGCCCAGACACATAGCAGACATTCAGACAGCTGTTGAGTAGATGAGTAAAGGACTAAACGTTTCACCCAGGGAATAAAGAAGGTGAGCTTCAGCGTAAAGGCATGAGAGTCACAGTGCTGCTGTCTACAGTTCTGGCCGGTCTGCTTTTTAAAGTGCAGGCTTTGGGCCTCCATGGCAGTCCATTGGTTAAGATTTTGCCTTCCAGTGTAGGGGGTTTGAGTTTGACCCCTGATTGGAGAGCTAAGATCCCGTAGCCAAAAACCCAGAACATAAAACAGAAATAATAACACATTCAATAAGGAGTTTTAAAAGTGGCTCTCTCTTACCCTGCGGGTGGAGCATATTTGCTTCAGACCTCTCTGGGGATTGGGACCCCTGTAAATCTCTTTAATCTTTGTCTTCAGTGTACCAGTGAGAGGGGTGAGTCAGCGAGAGTGGGTGCCTGGCCCTGTGGTCAGGATTCTGGGTTCATCTTGGCTCTGGTTGAATATGTGGGTGAGCTTGAGCAAAGTCCCTTCACCTTTTGTGCTCAGTTTCCTCATCTGTAAAATGGGGATTAGCAGCATCTACATTATAGGATTGTTGTGAGGAGCTGAAGCAGTTCCTAACACATAGTTGTAAGTGTCGTGTAAATGTTTGATGCTAGCTAGTGTTAATAGTGATAGTAGTAAGAGTTAACATCGTTTCAATAAAGATTAAGATATTTAAACATGGTGGGGTATGTGTTGAGGTCCACCCCCACATTCTAAGATTGACTAGAAAGATGCATAGGACCCAGCTGACAGTGTACTCACAGCTAAGATTTATCACAGTGATGGGAGGATGCATAGGTGGATCAAAAGGGGGGAGATGCCGGCGGGGTCTGGAGGAATCCCTGTGGGTTCTCTCAGAACACATCCTCTCCCACCACAGAAAAGCAGCAGCACGTGTGATGATTCTGCCTGGAGAAGCCCAGTGGAGGCTCAGCGCCCAGAGTCTGTACTAGGGGCTGGTCACACAGGCACCCTCTGCCTAGCACGTCCTACAGTCCCAGACCCCAGGGGGAGAGCAGGGGCTCAGCAGGAAGCACGTTGTCTGCACAGAGGGGGCACAGGTAGCCCTGGAGGACTTAACTGTTGACCGGGGTCAGGCCGGCACCGACTTCCCAGACACCACTGGGCCAGCCTCACGAGATAGTAACCTCTCAGGTCTTCAGTGTTAACTCTTTTCTGCTCAGGGTGAAAAAAAATGCAGCTCTCTGCCCCAGAGTCCCATCTTGGTTATTCTGTGGCACTGGGGACGGAGGCTGTGAGGGGTGATTTGGGTACCTTCATCTTTGCTGTTTTTTTTTCTAGAACGGCTTTGACTACTTGCTGACATACAGTGACAACCCCCAGACCGTGTTTCCGCGCTACTGCGTTAGTTGGATGGTTTCCAGTGGTGAGTGGGTACTTGTGCACGGGCCTGGGTACTTGGGCTGAATGTTTTGTTTTTCTCTAGCTTCTCAGTGGCTTCAAGGAGGTTAAGACTTGTTTCACGGGAGGCCTTCCGAGTTCGTTGTTGAATACTGTCTTGAAGGTAGTGAAGCCTCCAGCTGCAGTTTGGAGGGATGAGCATTCTGGAGTCCCAAAAAGAAGCCTGTGCCCAGAGGTGAATCGAAGAACGTTTGCTTAATACACACTGTGTACATTAATGCATTTACAGATTTTCTTCTTAGATCGTGTCGGAAGCCTTAAAACATGTGGTTATAGGACAGTCCACTGGAGAAAGGGGCCACCACCCTTCTTAACAAAGGCAACAGCACATCACTGCTGTGATTGACTGCATTTTTCCCAGCCGGTCTCTTCCCTTAGAAACAGCTTCATGAGATTTTCTCTCTTGTTCTCTGTAAGCGGTGTCTTACCCTTCAGGGGGGAATGGAGAGGAGATAGGTGTTTCTGTTTGACATTTTTCAGCAAAATTAGCTGTGCCACTGATAAGTGGTATTTGAATCACATAAAAGGGCGCCTTTGGGGACTCTGGCTTGATCAGTGCCCCTTTTCAAAGGGAGGTCCCAGGTGCTTTCACTGCCTGTAAGTTTGTTGTTTGTCAGTGAGGCTGTGGCCTCTATAAGGAAGCATTGACTTCCTGCCTGGAGAGAAACAGGCCCTGCTAATTTTGAGCCTGGTGGCTCAGCAGTAGAGAATCCACCTGCTGATGCAGGAGACTCAGGTTTGATCCCAGGGTCTGGAAGATCCCCCTGGAGAAGGAAGTGGGGAAACAGTAACTCACTCCAGTGTTCTTGCCTGGAAATCCCACGGACAGATATACAGTCCATGGGGTCGCAAAGAGTCGGACACGACTGAGTGACTAAAACAGTGAAAACATAGTGAGCCTACTGGTTTGTGTGTCTGCCTGCCCAGATTGCCCTCTCTCCCAACAGGCATGCCAGATTTCCTGGAGAAGCTGCACATGGCCACTCTGAAAGCCAAGAACATGGAGATCAAAGTGAAGGACTATATCTCATCTAAGCCTTTGGAAGTGGGGAGTGAGGCCAAAGCTGCCACCCCATCTTCTGAGCGCAAGAGCGAGGGCAGCTGTGGGCCTGCCCGCATCGAGTACGCTTGACAGGCCCTGGGGGAAGTGGGGTCAGGCGGGTACAGCCCTGTCTCGGCGTCATCACTCCCTCCGCTGCGGAACAGGGCGGGTTCGCAGGGCTCTGCTGTAGCCACCACGCAGGCTGATTCAGTACTGGTGTCCGCTCTCAGGGCCCTGCTGCTCTCTATCGGAACAGGAGGAGGGGGCATCTGAAGGGCCTTGTCATGGTCTCGGGCCAAGCGTTTTGAAACTGGTGTTCCTGGAGCTCCTCTGGAACCAGCCTCGCCTCAGGCCGGAGGGGACAACATCCTTTACTTTCTCTGCCCACATTCCGTTCTCAGCCTTGGTTCTGCGGCACTTTGGGTTGATTTCCTTCGGTTCTGAAGGTCCAACTGGACCACTTGGACGGTTGAGTTTTCAATGACAGGTCATGGCTGGAGGCACTCTAGGTCACAGTCCTGGTGTTGAGGGGGTGTGAACTATTGCTTGGCAGCGTAAGTGCCTTGTCCTCACCTTCCCCTGTCTCTAGGGAGATAAAGTTTGTACCAAGAGATGTCAATCTCTGCCTCCCATTGCCGTTCCCCACGCAAAGCAGTTTCCCTTGAGTCAGCCAGTTCTTCGGTATTCATGTGCTGTGTTCATCTGGGTTACCGCCTCCCCCTGTAGCCCATTTACCAAGAACACTGGGAAACTAAACGCTGTCAGACAGTAACTCTATCATCAGTGTTTTTGATAGGATCAGTGGAGATGCTCAAAACATCCAGTTTAGCTTTGTGTTTTTTTTTTTTAACTTTGTGTTAAAAAGCGGGGGTGGAATTAGGAAATGGAATAGGATTTTTTCTCCATAGTCTGGGCTGTATAGACAGCACTGTTTTGATTCGGGCATTATTTTTCACACTTTGGGTTTGACTTAATGCCGGCAACGTGGCCATCTTGGAAGGCTGAAGGCAGAGGGGTGGGGGTTGGGCACCTCCCTGGAAGCTCTCAGAGCTGCAGACAAGCCGTGTGAGCAGACAGATGCAGTTGGTCCCAAATGCTCATCAAGGGGGATGTGATTCATGTGACCCTGTGAAAAGCTTTTTGTCCTCTTTTGAGCTAAAATTAAGGCAAACCAGGCTGTTCAGATAAAATCACAATCAGATGGGATCGGCCTGCCCTGGCTGGCTGTCATGCTGCACTCTGACCAGAAGCATCGGAAAGGGCTTCAGATCCTCCTCCTTCCTCTTATTAGAATATGAATGACCAGATTCCCCCCACCCCCACTTGGTACCCTTTTGTGTTGCTGAAAGAGGAGCGAAAGCTGAGATTAAGCCCCTTAACCTTTTTGTGGCCTAAGTTTGTGCCAAGAAAATGCCTGCTCCACTCTTTGACTCTTGCAATCTCCGCGTCGTTGGCAGACCAGATGGGTGCCTCAGACAGCCCCAGCTTCTCTTCATCGGTTGTGTCTCCCTCCTCATCCCCAGGGACGAGTCCCTGGGTTGCATTGGAACTTAGCGCCTGTGACTATTGGGACAGGGGTGGTATGGGCAAGTGCCGTGAGTACACTTGAGGAAGGGAGCTGTGTGTTGCTCACCTACTTTTTGGCAATTTGACTCTTCACTTGGTCTTGGTCTGTACACTTATGTCATTGTAATGATTTCACTCCTGACTGTGGTGTTTTTACCAAATGCGTGAATAAATACAAAGATTGGTATGAAGGAATGTGTCTTTGGACATACGTTGTCAAGGAAGTCTTGCATACTGGGCTTATTATTTCTTCCTGATCAAAAAGCGAATTCCTGCCGGCAGAGCTGGCACATGAAAGCAGCAAGTTTTGGTCTTCCCTGGCGGTAACTGCCACACCACCCACCACCTTGTCTATAGACTATAAGGCCTTTCCAGGTGACCAGATTGGCAATTGAAAACAAACCACCCATTTCCACTTCCTTGTCTGGATCCACTGGTAACCCACACCCTTTGCTTTAAAAGGATGGACTTGATGGGAACAGCGTTAGGAGTGGCAGGGCCTCCGGCCTGGGTCTGGAGCCCTGGAGCTGGAGAGGGGGAAGTGAGCCCCAAAACCCAGGGCATGGTGGTCACACAGGCAGTCCTGGGATGCAGGTTGGTGCTGGATGATGGAGCCATTGAAGACATCGAGCACACGGTGAGTTTTGAGTGTATGCATGATGGTGCCTGTGGGAGACACGAGGTGAACACAGATGCATACACAAGACTGGCCGCTCCTCCCCATTGCTGGAAAGTCCTCTCAGCTAGCAGACCTCCTGTTAAGAGGTCATGGGCTGCGGGTACACGTGGGTCTGCGTAACCCCTCACTGGAGAGCTGGGTGCTGGCCTTCACCCTGCCGTGGAGGCCCCTGCTTGGCACCCTGGCCGCCGTCCAGGCTACACAGAAACAGTTTGCACAGAGAAGCAGTTGGCTTCTTAACTGAGAGCAGCATTTGTGCTGCCAGGCAGCTCCAGCTTGCAGGAAGTTCTTTACATTGACACCAAGTGGGCCTCATACTGTCTACTGAAGGGTCAAGCCCTGAGCTTGAAGCAACACTGGAAAACTCCCGTGGAAGAACCTTCATTTTCTTAAAGGTGGTGCTCATGTGACAGCTTTTCCCAGGCTTTATATCAGCAGCAACTTTAAAAATCCTCCAGCTTTTTCAGTGGTCAAGACTCTGCCTTCCAATGCAGGGTATGTGGACTTGATGCCTGGTGGGGAGCTCAGATCCCCCATGCCTTGTAACCAAAAAACATGAAATGGAGGCAGAAGCACTTTTGTAACAATTCAATAGAGGCTTTAAAAATGGTCCACATCAAAAAAATGTTTTAAAAAATTCAACTTTTTATTTTGAATATTCTATACATACAGAAAAGTTGAAAGAGTACTAATAATAAAACCTGGTATACCCTTCCCCTACCTTTGCTGGTGGTTAACCTGTTGCAGTGTGTGCTTTATCTTCCCTGTATACACTTTGCTATGACTGGACTGTGTCCTATAAGTGGGTATGCATGCTGGGACCCTAAGCCCCAAGTAATGGAGATAAGTCTTTGGGAAGTGGTTAGTTTAGATGAGGTCATGAGGGTGGGTCCCCATGATGGGATTAGTGCCCTTCACACTAATTGCTGCCAAAGTTGGTCTTTCTCTCTACCACGTGAGGAACATGAAAAGCCAGGGACCTCTCGCCAGGGACAGAATAGACCAGAATCTCAGCCTTGGATGTTGAGCCTCCAGAGTTGTGAGAAATCTGTTTAAGTCACTCTTGTCTGTGGCGTTTCATTACACTGGCCCAACTAGACTAATATACTTTTCCATGACCACCTGAAAGCACGTTGCAAACATACTTCATTAAATGCTTGGGCATGGGTTTTTTTTTTTTTTTTCTTTTGGGCCTTGCTGTGCAGCCTGCTGGATCTTAGTTTCCTGAGCGGGGATTGAACCTGTGCCACCTGCAGTGGAAGCATGGCGTCCTAACTACTGGACCGCCTGGGAAGTGCCTGAGCATGCTTTTTTTTTTAAATAGTAAAGATACTCTGTGTAAGCTACACTGCAAATAGCATACAGATAAACTTGTACATAACGTCTAATAGCTCATATTAAAATTTCCTCGGTTGCTCCCTAAATTACTCTAGCAACCCACCCCCCAAATTAATATTAAGTATATGTTGTGTTTGTGTCCTTTGTCAAAAGCAGCTAAGTAGCTAAGTTAGCAGCCTGCCCTTTGTAATGTAGCTTCATGGGTGCCTAAGATAATTTAGTGCCTGCCTGTCCCATGCTCAGTCATGTCCAACTTTTTGTGACTCCATGGACTATAGACCCCCTGTCCTTGAAAATTTTCCAGGCAAGAATACTGGAGACAGTTGTCATTTCCTCCTCCAGGGGACCTTCCCGACTTAGGGACTGAACCCATGTCTCTTGTGTCTTCTGCACTGGCAGGCAGATTCTTTACCTCTGTGCCACCTGGGAAACCCTTTGTGAGATGTAGTTTTCAGACTGTTGGGGAACTCCCATACCTGGCCCCTACCCCGGGCTACTTACCCCAGAACTGCAGGTGGTGACAGCGGTCATGTAGCCTAAAGGATACAACATAGGCGGCAGCTCCCTTGATCTGCATACTACTAACATAAGCTAAAATGTCATTAATTTGTCACCTGTCTTTGTCACACTGTTGACTTCTGTTGTGCTTGGGATAACACGGTCACCGAGCATCTGCTGTGCCCAGCACTGTGCTTCATGCTTTCGAGCAAGATCTCCTATAATCCGACCTATGACAGCTCTGCAAGAATGTAGCGATCCCTGTTGTATGAGCAGGAAATAATGGCATCAGAGGTTAAGTAATTTTCTTGCTCAAAGTCAACACAGGAAGTGCAGAGCCAGGGTGTGGACCTAACTTTGACCTCTGCAGAGACACCTCTGGCAAATGGCTTCAAGCTGGGCTAGTTTCTCATAGACAACGTCGGGTTCGATTCCTTCCCAGGGCTGTTAACTTAACCTTGGAACCTGGACCGTGGGCTTTCTTTTCATCCCCCTGTGTTCAATTTTATGTGGTTTTAGTTTTGCCCTACTGCCTAGCTCCATTATCCAGTTACCAGTTGTTTGATGGTGCTCTGTCTATGAGTATTAGAAGCAATAAATATAATTTCTCTCCTGAAAATTTCAGGATGTACACCATTAGTGTGACACATGGGTTAATATAAAGAGGTGGGATAGTTTTCTTGGGGACCTTGTGAGGTAGCATTTTCTAAAAATGTTTACTTACAAAGTAACTAGTCTCTGAACCCAGCATAGTAGGACAGGAATTTGGAAATTCTTTTTAAAATGAAAACATCCTTCAGAAAATCTGAGAACTCTGATTTCTAACAAATAACCTTGAGGAGTATCTTAAAATCTATAGGGACTTCCTGGTGGTCCAGTGGTTGAGAATCGACTGGCCAGTGAGGGGTACACAGGTTTGATCCCTGGTTGGGGAAGATCCCACATGCCTGGAGCAACTGAGTCTGTGGGCCACAACTGCTGAAGCCCTCACAGTTAGAGCCCGTGGTCCACGACAAGGGAAGCCACTGCATTGAGAAGCCTGTGTGCAGCGAAGAAGACCCAGTGTGGCCATAAATAAATTTTAAAACTTAAACTATAAGCTCTGGATGGAAGTGATTTTGATGTAAAATGTGCTTATTTTTATAAAACTCAGTAGTACTTGATAGTGTCATTTCAAAGGAACTCCCAGGCTACACACACTCACAGTTGCTTTAATGACCTCATTCTAGTTGATTCTGGTCCACAGATGAACTTAAAACCTTTTTCAGACATAACTTACAAATAATGTAACTTTATCATCTATTTTTAAAGAGCCTGAAAGTGAAAAGTGTTAAGTCGCTCAGTCCTGTCCAAGTCTTTGTGACCCCATGGACTGTAGCTCCCCAGGCTCGTCTGTCCATGGAATTCTCCAGGCAGGAATACTGGAGTGGGTTGCTGTTCCCTTCTTCAGGGGATCTTCCCGATCCAGGGATCGAACCTGGATCTCCTGCATTGCAGACAGATTCTTTATCATCTGAGCCACCAGGGAAGCCTAATTTTTAAAGAGCCTAACCACACCTAAAAAGATAGCGTGCTTGTTTGAAAACAGTAGTGTTTGGGTGTTTTTATGATTAATGCGTTTTATCATATCTTAAAACTCTGCTGAGCACAGGAGTTAGGATCATGTTCAGCTTTGAGGGACAAGACTAACATTGATATTCTTTTCTGAATGTCGCTGATCCAGACACGGTGGCTCCCTGTGAGTCCCGTGGGTCCTCCCAGACCCAGGCTCCTGCCTCACATGGGGTTGAAATCTGTTACATCAGAATCTGGAGGGTGAGACCTGAGTATTATGTTTACTTCTGAGTGTATTATAGTTTGTCAGTGCTCATCCTAAAAGGTGGAGTCCAGAATTGCACTAGTCTCTGTTCCCTAGCAGAGGAACATCATGAGAGCGGGGGCAGCGTCCACTCAGCGCCCATAGGCCCGATCCTCCTCCAGCCATCATGTCTGTGCCCTGCCAGCAGGAAGCGTCCTGAGGATGCTTTCCAGGGTGGCACGCCATTTCTGCTTACAGGCCGGGGACCAGAACTTAGGCCAAAGACGACGTCCCACTGCTGACAAGTGGGCTATTTGAGCAGCCATGTGCCCAGTAAAAATTCAGAGGTCATTTTGCTGAGGAAGAAGGAGTGAGCGGAAGTGGGGGCATTTTGCAGGCTTTGCCGGTTTATAGCTCAAATAGAGCTAACAACTGTGAGTGCATCACTTCCAAGACTCAGGACTTGGTTAAAAAGGCAGTAATGGTAGGAGATATTCTAGTTTGCTAAGGCTACTAGAACAAAGTACCAGGGAAATCCCCCGGCAGTCCAATGGTTAGAACTCCGTGCTTCCACTTCAGGGCAGCCTGGCTTGATCCCTGGCTGGGGCACTGAGATCCTTTTGCCACGCAAAAGAATTAGAGCCATCCTTGGTTATCCTCACAGGATCCAGGGCACTAAGATCCTGCATGCCCCGGCGTGGCCAAAAAACAAAGCAAACAAGCAAAGTAGTGGGGCCTCCCTGGGTCCAGTGGGTAAGAATCTGCCTTACAGTGCAAGGGACACCGGTTCGATCCCTGTTCCAGGAAGATCCCACACGCCGCGGGGCAGGTAAGCACCTGTGCCACAACTGTAGAAGCCCGAGGGCCCAGCAGGAGAACCGCCACAGTGAAGCCGGAGCACCCAGCTAGAGGAGTCCTCACTCACCACTAGAGAAGGCCTGTGTACAGCAGGAAGACCCACCGCAGCCAAAAGAACAAAGAACCTGAAGAGGAAGATCCTACCCCACCCGCCCCCAAAGAAAAACAAAGTGTCATGCACTGGTGGCTTAAACAACAAAAATGCATGGTCTCCCAGTTCAAGAGGCTGGAAGTCTGGGAGCAAGGTGTAGGAGGGTGGGCCTCTCCCAGGTACTGGGGGTCAGTGGCCCTCTCTGGCCTCCCACCCCCGCCACCCTTGGCCTTCACGCTCACGTGGTCTCCCTGTGCGTGTGTCTCGGTCCAGATTTCCCCTTTTTGTAAGGACACCGGTCGTATTGGTGACAGGCCCATTCTATTCCAGTATAATCTCATTTTAACCTAACTTAGGACATTTCAATGGCACTATTTCCACATGAGATCACCTTCCCTGGTGTTGGGGGTTAGGACTTCAACATCGGAACCTTGAGGGGCCGCAGTTCAACCCAAAACAAGGGAAGATTGCAGAGAACTCAACTTCAGAATGACTTTTCAAAAGCAACGGCCCTCTCAGGACTTCCCTGGCGGTACAGTGGTTAAGACTTTGCCTTCCAATGCAGGGGGTGTGGGTTTGATCCCTGGTTGGGAAACTAAGGTCCCACATGCCTCTTGGCCAAACAAAACAGAAAACAGAAGCAATATTGTAACAAATTCAATAAGTCTTCTAAAATGGTCCACATCAAGAAAAGAAAATCCTGAACAAACACAACCCAAGCAAAAGCAATGGCCTCTTAGGGCGCACTTCCCTGTGGCGGCAGCAGGGGGCAGGGCTGCACCGCTCCTGGAGCTCGTTTCCAGGCCACCCGCGGCTGCTGGAAGCGCATCGAAACCGCCCGAGGTTCACTGCGGTCTCCTTGGGCATCCCCACCCCTGCCTCAAAGCCTTCACTGGCATCAAGACCTATGAATCAAGGGGAAAGGAAGTGGGTCAGACGGTGTAGCCTCTGTGGGTGTGCAGAGTGGGTCGGTGAGAAGAGGAGGCCGAGGGGGAAGGAGGGCTTCTCAGGCCCCCAGCCCTGGGGCGAGGAGAGTGCCTGGGAGAGCCTGGGGGCGGGTAAAAGGGGCCGAGCCTGGCTTTGCTGCCTGCTCCCTCCAGCCTTTCTGCTTTGAGGGGCCAATCCTCTTCCCAGTCTAGGAGGAGGGTCGGCTCCCCCAGGCGGGCAGGCTAATGGAGGGCCCAACTGCTGGATGTCCCATCTTCTGGCTATCATTCCTGCATTTCTTGTCATTCTTGTCTGATTGCTCTATTTCTGCACCTCGAAAGAGGCAGGATGTGGCAATAATTAGCAAGGAATTACTGGAGAATGAAATGGCAACCCACTCCAGTACTCTTGCCTGGAAAATCCCATGGACGGAAGAGCCTGGTGGGCTAAAAGTCCAAGGGGTCGCAAAGAGTCGGGCACGACTGAGCAACTTTACTTTCACTTTACGGAAGGCCCGTATGTGCTGTGACTTTCAGAAGAACCGTGAAGCGGCTGGGCAAACGCCACTGGTTGCTCTTCAGTTGCCAAGTCGTGTCCAACTCTTTCCGACCCAGTGAAGTGCAGCACGCCAGCCTTCCCTGCTCTTCACCATCTTCCACAGTCTGCTCAAACTCATGTCCATTGAGTCAGTGATGCCATCCAACCATCTCATCCTCTGTCACCTCCTTCTCCCCTTGCCCTCATTTTTACCCAGCATCAGGGTCTTTTCCAGTGAGTTGGCTCTTCACATCAGGTGACCAGAGTAGTCATGTTTCAGCTTCAGCATCAGTCCTTCCAATGAATATTCAGGACTGATTTCCTTTAGGATTGACTCTTTTGAGCTCCTTGAAGTCCAAGGAACTCTCAAGAGTCTTCTCCAGCACCACAGTTTGAAAGCATCAATTCTTTGGTGCTCAGCCTTCTTTATGGTCCAGGTCTCCTATCTGTACATAACCACTGCCCTGGAGTGGACAGAATTAAACAGCTCAGCACCAAGGACCAGGGGTGTGCCCATTCTGTGTGGCCTGTTCTTTTTAAAAAATTTTTATTGGAGTACAGTTGATTTACAATGTTGTGTTAGTTTCCACTTTACAGCAAGCTGATTCAGTCATATACATACATATATACATACATATATCCACTCTTTTTTTTGGTTTTCCTATAGATGTCATTGCAAACTATTGAATAGAGTTGCCTTGCTCTTCAGTAGGTTCATATCAGTTATCTGGTTTATGTATAGCAGTGTGCACATGGCAATTCCACCCTTCCAACTATCCCCTCCCGCCACAGAATATTCTTGACACTCTTTGGATTTTGCCTTCATACTCTTTTATTTTCCAAAGTAATAACTATGTGACTAAAAAGGTAATGAATTTATTTTATACATGAAAGTGTGAAGAAAAATTATCTAGAATCCTTACAAGTCAAAGAGTCAGTGTCTTTTCCCTACTTACTTGTATCTGTACATAATTTTTTGTAGTTTTATCTAAAGCTTTCATGCATATAGTTTAAAAAGTCAAATAATTCTTCTCCTTTTTGCTTTTAAAATTCTTACTGTATACGTTTCAGGTGTACAGTATTGTAGTTCACCATCTGTATAAACTCCAGAATGATCTCTCACCATCCAGTTGACCCATTTATACATTTCACCTCCTCCCAGGCCTTCTCCTCTGATTAACAGTGAGTTGTTCTCTGTACCAGATTGTTGTTGCCTTTTTTTTTAAATTTCTATGTATGAGTGAAATCATACAGTATTTGTCTTTCTCCATCTGACATTTCACCTAGCATAATACCTTCAAAGTCCATTCATGTTAATGCAAATGGCAGGATTTCATTGTTCTTTATGGGTGAATGATATCAATAATGGCTGAAAAATCATAATCCATTTTATAAATATACCACATCTTTTTTATCCATCGATCCATCAATAGACACGTAGGTTGTTTGCATATATAAAGAGTCAAAAATAGTTCTTACCAAGTTTGTTGCGAAAACCTCTCTCCTGCCATTTCCCCTATCTAGGAACAGCCAGGCTCATCTCTCACAGTGGATTATGTTGTATTTTCCTCCAGGTCTCTGAATAATAGGCTTATATTACCACACCCTGATTTTTCATTTAGGCATTACACTTGGTCCTCCACATCGCCAGGGTTTGGCAACCATGGATCCAACCAATGGTGGATTGAAAATGTTAAAAAAATTCCACGGACTTCCTTGGGTTAAGACTCTGCACTCCCACTGCAGGGGATGTGGGTTCGATTCCTGATCAGGGAGCTAGGACCCCACACGCCGTGGGGCAACTAAGCCTATGTGCTGCAACTGCTGGGCCCGTGCACCACGGCAGAGGACCCCCATGACGCAAGGGAGACCCCGCTTGCTGCGGCTCAGGCCTTGACACAGCCAAATAGTCATTTTTAAAAATCTGCGTATAAAAAATCATATAAACGTGAGATCCTTAAAAAAAAAAAAAAACTAGAGTCCCAACCTCCGGCTTCAGGAAGTGGATCCTGCAGACTCTGGAGCTTCAGGATGGTTCATGCTAAGAGCTGGACCCTGAAGAAACACTTTGTAGGTCTCCCTACTAATAGTGACTTTGAACTGAAGAAAGTTGAACTCCCACCCTTAAAAGATGGAGAGGTCCTGCTGGAAGCTTTGTACTTCACCGTGGATCCTTACATGAGAATTATGGCAAAAAGCTTGAAGGAGGGTGACATGATGATGGGAGAGCAAGTGGCCAGAGTTGTGGAAAGTAAAAATTCAGCCTTCCCAACGGGAACTATTGTGGTGGCTCCTTCCGGCTGGGCAACACACTCCATTTCTGATGGGGAAAAACTGGAAAAGGTGCTTGCAGAGTGGCCGGACACATTACCACTGTCTCTGGCTCTGGGAACGGTTGGCATGCCCGGCCTAACAGCCTACTTTGGCCTGTTTGACATCTGTGGAGTGAAGGGTGGAGAAACAGTGCTGGTTAGTGTGGCAGCAGGAGCAGTGGGCTCTGTTGTGGGCCAGATTGCTAAGCTCAAGGGCTGCAAAGTTGTTGGAACAGCAGGGTCTGATGAAAAAGTTGCTTGGCTTAAAAAGCATGGATTTGATGTTGCCATTAACTACAAAACAGTAAAGTCTTTGGAAGAAGCTCTGAAACACCCAGATGAAGAAATTTGGAAGAATTGCTATATGTGGGGCCATCTCTGTATACAACAGAACCGGCCCACTTCCCCCAGGCCCACCCCCGGAAGTCATCATCTTTAAGGAACTCCACTTGCAAGGCTTCCTCATCTACCGTTGGCAAAGAGAAGTCCTCCAGAAGGCTCGGAGAGACTTGCTGAAGTGGGTCTCAGAGGGTAAAATCCAGTACCATGAACACGTCACTGAAGGATTTGAACACATGCCGGCTGCATTTATTGGATTGCTCAAAGGAGAGAATCTGGGGAAGGCAATAGTGAAAGCATGAACAAAAATGACACGTGGAATCCAGAAGTCACCTAGATGATTAGTTTCTTTTTAACCACGTAGTAAAATATGTACTAACTTCATAATGCATGAACAAAAGTGACTAGTGGAATCTAGAAATCATTTGGGTGATCAGCTTCTTTTTAATCATTTAGTAAAATCTGTGCTGTTTTCATGATCTAAAAAACAGTAATTGTAATGTGATTGATCTACCTAATAAAATACATTGAAGTGGTTAAAAAAAAAAAAAAACTAAACGTGTGTTTCAGTCTGACATCTTTACCTGGCCTGTTTTTGTTTCTTTACGTATTGCCTCCTGCTGGCACTTTACTGAAATGTAATCAAGGTACAGTGAACTGCATGTGTTCCAAATGAACAATCTAATCAATTTGATGTGTGTATACACCTGTGACATCATTGTCACAATTAAGGTGATGAATATTTCATCATCCACAAAAGTTTCCTTGTGTCTCTTGTTATTTCCCCCATCCCCAGGCAGCCACTGACCTGCTGTGTCCATAAAGTAGACTACGTTGTCTAGGATTTTTCATAAATGAAATCATACAGTAAGCACTGCTTTTTCCTTTTATTCACCATAATGATTCTGAAATTTGTCTGGGTTGCATTTATTAATGGTTCATTTCTTTATATTACAGAGAATTAGTTCATTGAATGGATGGATCACAGTTTGTCAGTTCGTTCACCTGCTGAGGAACATTTGGATTGCTCCCAGTTTTGGCTGTTACAAATAGAGCTGCTATAAACATTTATGTGCAAGTCTTCAAAAATTAAAAAAAAAATGTTGGCGGTGTTGAGTCTTTGATGAAGCACAGAGGCTCTTTATTTCTGTGCTTGGGCTTTCTCTAGTTGCAGGAAGCGAGGGCTGCTCTCTAGCTGCGGTGTTGAGGCTTCTCGTTGCGGTGGCTCCTCTTGTGGGGCATGGGCTTCAGTGGTTGCGGCATGCAGATTCTGGAAGTGCGTGGGCTCGGTAGTTGAGGCATACCGGCCTAGTTGCCCCAAGGCATGTGCGATCTCAATTCCTGAACCAGGGTAGATCCCGTGTCCCCTACATTGGCAGGCAGATTCTTAACCACTGGACCACCAGGGAAGTCCCTATGTACAAGTCTTTGTGTGAATATGTTTTCTTTTCTTTTTTTTTTTTGAATTATGCAGATTTTATTTTTATTTTTATTTTATTTATTTATTTATTTTTTTACACCAGAACTAACATAGTTTTATTGGTCAATTCTATTTTTTTTTTCTTTTTTTTATTTATTTATTTATTTATTTTTTTCACAACCATAGTGTATCTTTTTTTTTTTTTTACATGTATTCCCCATCCCGGTCCCCCCTCCCACCTCCCTCTCCACCCAATCCCTCTGGGTCTTCCCAGTGCACCAGGCCCGAGCACTTGTCTCATGCACCCAACCTGGGCTGGTGAACTGTTTCACCCTAGATAATATACGTGTTTCGATACTGTTCTCTTGAAACATCCCACCCTCGCCTTCTCCCAGAGTCCACAAGTCTGTTCTATACATCGGAGTCTCTTTTTCTGTTTTGCACATAGGGTTATCGTTACCATCTTTCTAAATTCCATATATATGTGTTAGTATACTGTAATGGTCTTTATCTTTCTGGCTTACTTCGCTCTGTATAATGGGCTCCAGTTTCATCCATCTCATTAGAACTGATTCAAATGAATTCTTTTTAATGGCTGAGTAATATTCCATGGTGTATATGTACCACAGCTTCCTCATCCATTCGTCTGCTGATGGGCATCTAGGTTGCTTCCATGTCCTGGCTATTATAAACAGTGCTGCGATGAACATTGGGGTACACGTGTCTCTTTCAGATCTGGTTTCCTCGGTGTGTATGCCCAGAAGTGGGATTGCTGGGTCATATGGCAGTTCTATTTCCAGCTTTTTAAGAAATCTCCACACTGTTTTCCATAGTGAATATGTTTTCAAGGTTTGTTTTCATTTTGTTTTTTTTAGATAAGTGCCTGGGAGAGGAATGGCTGAGTCAAATGGTAGTTGCATGTTTAAATATGCTTAGGTAACCCCCAAACCATTGTCCAAAGTTGTTGTAACGTTTTATACTCCCAACAGCTATGTGTAAGCATTCCAGTTGCTCCATCTTCTTGCTAATGCTTGTGGCCAGTCTTCTTATTATGCTTTTAATTTTTGTTTCTCTAATGAGAAATGATATTTAGCATCTTTTTATGTTTACTGGCATCCATGAGTCTTCTCTAAAGTGCTATTTGAAATCTTTTGCTCATTTTTTATTTGGGTTTTTTGTCTTCTTGTTACAATATCGGAGTTTTTACAATGTAAGAATTTTATTTTTTCTCTTTAATAATTGAGTTATTATACTTATATCATCAAATTCACCCTTTTAATGAGTACAGTTCAGTGGTTTTTAGCTATTCACAAAGTTGTGGAAACTGTCACCACTATTTAACTCTAAATGTTTTCATTACCCCGCCAAAAAAATTCCCAGACTCATTAGCAAGCACTCCCCCATCCTCTTCCTCCCAAGCCCAGACAACCAGTCACTAATTTACTTTCTGTCTCTACTATATCAAATGGACCATTGATATGAATGGAATCATACCATAGGTGGCATTTGTGACTGGCTTCTTTCATTTAGCACCATGTTTTCAAGTTTTAGGTATGTTATCATATGAATCAGCACTTCATTCCCTTTTTTAAAAAAATATTTATTTTCATTTGTTTATTTGGCTGTGCCTGGTGTTAGTCATGACATGGGGGATCTAGTTCCCTGACCAGGAATCAAACCTGGGCCCTTTATATCGTGAGTATGGAGTCTTAGCCACTGAACCACCAGGCAAGTCCCTTCATTGCTTCTTATGACTGAACAGTATTCCACTTCATGAATATACCACATTTTATTTATCTGTTCATCAGTTGCTGGACATTTGAAATTTCCCCCCTCTCACTTTTTGGCTATTCTAAACAATGCAGTTGTGAACATTCATGTACAAGCTTTTGTATGAACATATGTTTACAGTTCTCCAGAGTATATACCTTGTAGTGGAATTGACGGGTCATGTGGTAATTCTATTTTTAACTTTTTGAGAAACCACCGAATTGTTTTCCAAAGCAGCTGTACCATTTTGTATTCCCACTAGCAGCTTCTGAGAGTTCCAATCTCTTCACATTCTGAACAACACTTGTTACTGTTCTTTAATTCTAGCCATCCCAGTGGGTGTGATGTGGTATCTCATTGTGGTTCTGCTGTGCATCACCTCAGTGACTAATGATGTTGGACATCTTTTCTTATGCTTATTGGCCATTTGTATATTTTCTCTGGAGGAATGTCTATTCAAAACCTTTGCTCACTTTTAATTGGATTATTTGTCATTTTACTGTTGAGTTATGTATTTGTATATTTTAGATGCAAGTCCTTTGTCTGATATATTTGTTGGGAATATTTTGTCCTTGTCTGTGACTGGCCTTTTATTTTTTTGTAATGGTGTCTTGTAAAGAAGACACACGTTTATAATGTGTGTCTAGTTCATCAGGTTTCTCTTTTGCATTTTGTACTCTTATGTTCTAAGAAATCTTTGCCTAACTTAAGGATGCAAAGGTGTTCTCCCACACGTTCTTCTAGACATTTTATAGTTTCAGATTTTTACATTTAGAATTGTGATCTGCTCAAGTTAATTTTTATATAAGTTATGTGGTATGAGTCATGTTTGACATTGAGTATATTTCCAGTTATTTTTTTGTTCTGTATTGTTGCATATAGATCCATGCTTCATGTTTATTTCATGTTTCCCTATGAGGAAGAATGAGAATGTCATTCCCCTCCTTTTCCTGCTTTTTTTCCTCCTCTTCACTCTATTCCACACTATCTTATACCCCTTATAGGGATGGTTTTATGGTTTTTGTTTTCTGTTCTTTTCTTTTTTTTTTGAGAGAAAAGATACATAGAGATTTTGTTAATACAGAATATACTTTTGACTCAATCCTGCCACATTGCTTTCCCTATATCCTTGCCAACAGTTGGTATTATCTAACTTTGATTTTAATTTTCATTTATTTTTTGCCAACCTGTAAAAGAATGTGTCATAGTTTTATTTTTGATTTCTCTAATTGCTAGAGAGTTTAAGTATTTCTTCACAGACTTGTTAACCATTCAGATTTCCCTTGTATGAATTGCCACTCATGGCTGTATACATTTCTCTATTGACATTTTTCTATAATTCCTCCGTTTTTCTCCTTGCTTTGCAAAAATTCCTTGTATATGCTACATTAGAATTCCTTAATTGTTTATTTTATTCATGAAATTAAATATTATATTCAGTTTCAGTTTGTCAGTTTTATTTAAGTTTTTATCTTTGTGCACACAGCATGTGGGCTCTTTTTTTGTTTTTAATTAATTTATTTATTTGGTTGCACTGAGTCTTAGCTGAGGCATGTGGGATCTAGTTCCCCGACCAGGGATTGAACCTGGGCCCCGTGCATTGGGAGCCCAGAGTTTTAGCCACTGGACTACCACGGACGTCCCCAGCATGTGGGCTCTTAATTCCCTGGTCATGGCCCCTGCATTGGATGTGATCTTAACCACTGGCTTCTGGGGGAGTCCCAGTTCTTGTCGTTTAGACACTGCAGATATTTTCTGCCAACTTCCCCCTCATCTGTTAGCTCTGTGGTACTGTTTATTAAACAGACATCTTTCTCTTTTTCGCTGTGCCATGCAGCTTGCTGGAGCTTAGTTCCCTGATCAGGGTTTGAACTCGGGGCCATGGCAGTGGGAGTGCTGAGTCCTCACCACTGAATCATCAGGGAAGTCCTGAGAGCTTTCATTTTTATGTGGTTGAATCCATAATTTTTTCACCTATGATCTATACTTTTAAAACCTTTACTCCCTCAAAGTAAAAAAAGATGTCTCCTACGTATTCATCTCTTAGATTTCGAGTTTTATTTTACACATGTAGATCCCCTGGAGAAGAAAATGGCAACCCACTCCAGTATTCTTACCTGGGAAATCCCTTGGACAGAGGAGCCTGGAAGGCTTCAGTCCATGGGGTCGCAGAGTCGGACATGACTGAGCGACTAGGCAGCAACAGCAACAATTTACTGTTAGGTAAGGGCTGTGGGATAGGGATCCAACCTGCAATTCCTACCCTGGTTTCCCAGCTTGAGGCGCTAAACGCTGCTAGCATGGCCGCAAGGAACCCGGGGATCAGCAGAGGGGCTGGGGCTGGGGCCCCTGAGTCTGGCCTGATGCTGGCTTTCTCCAGCAGCCCTTAGCTGCCAGGGCTGGGAACTGGATAAAGAGGACATGAGGACTTTTCAGGTGTCAGAGTTGCAAGGGCCAGGAGGGAAGGGTGCTCAGGGTTGTGCAGGGGCGGAATTGCGCCAGATGGGCCTGAAGTGCTGGGGGCAGAAGCACAGGTCTTTGGCTCCCGCAGGTGTTGGCAGGTGCTGGAGACACAGGAACAGACTTTGGTGATAATAAGTGGCACTGCGAGCGGGCAGCTGCATGTGTGGGCCCTCACCCAGTGTGACTGGGACGGGGAAGCCTTCACCCGTCTCACCCACAGACCAGGGCAGCCTGATGGCGGAGGAGGCGCTGGGGGTGAGGCCTGTCGGGGTGTGAGGTCCAGCGGCAGCCGCCCTTCCGCAGGGGAAGGTTGGGTCGTCCTGAACGGGCCGCTCAGGTCAGGCAGGTGGCGCCCCTTCACCCCAGGCCACAGTGGCGGGGGGCGGGGAGCAGGGGGTTTGGATAGATCCCACCTGGGATGGAGATCAGGGCTGGGGTAGTGGAGCCCCCCAGAGTGGGTTTGTCCCAGTGGAAGCAGATGGCGAGCTCGCCAGCTGCGGCCAACTGCCAAGATGCTCGGGAGCTGCCAGCCTCTTGACATGGTGACAGGCTGGGCTCCTGGAAGACTCCCTTGTGTGGTGACACTGCCCGGCACTCCATCAGGGAGAGGGAGAGGAGGAGAGACTGGGAAGTCCCTCCTTCGCCCAGAAGTGACATTTCTTCTGCACGAGTCTCGGGCTCTGCCTGCGGGGCGGGGCGGGGAGTGGAGGAGGGCGGCTCGGGCACCTGGGGGCAGGGCTTGTCCACGCAGGCCTGAGGGGCTGTGTCCCCATTCAGGACTGGCTGCCCCCCGGGCCTGCCCCAGGAGGGGCGACTGCTGGCGCGCTGAGGGGCTGGCAGGACCGGCCGGGGAGGAGGGGGGGAGGAGGGGTCAGGGCCCCCCACGCTGCCGGCAGAGGGGCCACACGCCACCCCAGGCCCCTGCATGCTTTGTTTTCTGCACTGAATTTCCCTTCCTGCCCCTTCTCACTAAGAGCCTTGCAGAAGACCCACACAGAGAGAGGAAGGGACCCCAAGAACGAACCAAGATGGGTTAGGGGCAGTGTTTCACCGTCTTCTCCCTTCTCTTCTCTTCCTCCCACGTTCTCTACAGTGTGGATAGATGTCTGGGGCCACCAGGAAAGTAACAGATGGTGTGTGGCAAGTGTGTGCAGGGTGGGTGTGGTGGGCGAGCCCCTGTCCCTGGGGACACAGGACTTGGTGTTGCCAGGACCCCCTGGCCCCTGCTGTGGGTGCCCTTGTCACTGGCTTTTCCCTGTGAGGTCACCCCCTTGGGTTCCCACTTGGTAGCTGAGCAAAGTGGGGCTTGGGTCACTCAAGGGCCTGGCCCACTCAAGGGCCTGGCCCAAGGTCACCGGCTCCGCCCCTCCACCTTGGCGTGGCCTCAGCTGAGCCTGCCCCGCGTCACCACAGAGGACACTGTCAGGAGAGCAATGTCAAGTGTAAAATCCCTCAGGCCCCCAGGAGGGGAAAACGAGAGGCCCTGTGCCCCTAGAGCGACCCAGGAAAAGCGATGTGAAAACCCAGGCGGCGGGGGTGGGGGCCCAGGGCTGGGGCCCGGGTGTCAGCGGGTGGAAACAGGATGTGAGCAGAGAGGGGGCCGTGAGAAGCACGGTGGCTCCCAGCAAAGGCAGCCACCTGGCACAGTGTGTTCTGATCACGGAAAAAGAGCCTGGGCTGTGTGGGAGTGGTCACATCCTGCTCCCTGCCAGGCCTCCCCCGCCCACCTGGCTCCTCGGCTGGGGGTGGGGGGCCGGCGGGCAAGGGATGGGGGTTCAGTCTTAACAAGGGCTCCTAGGTCCACGGGGAGGCCTGGCATCCAATGGTATAAGCAAAAATGAAGGGAGAACAGGGCGGACAGCTCACTGGTCCACCCAGCCCACGCTGATGAAGGGCCCGCCGGGGCCAGGCCTGAGCACGAAGCAAGGACAGTGAAACTGCAGGGCCCACGCTGAGTTCAGGGAGGCCCAAGTGTTGGGAGGGCAGAAGTGAGCCTGGGCTCTGTGAGACCCTGGGTTTAGCCTGAGGATCTGGGAAGGCTTCCTGGAAGAGGTGAGACCTAAAAGAAGTCTGGAAGGCGGGTTAAAGGCATCCCAGGCAGGGTCAGCCAGCACGGGGTGCTGAGCTGTGTGGTTCAGTGTCACTGGGGGCCTCTTTTTGCCCATCTGGCCAGAGTCCACCTGCTTGGCCTGCTCAGGGCCTTCGGTCTCCTCTCTGGCCTGGTCACTCACTGGCATTAACACCAGCATTCTCGTTCCCCATCAGAGCTGCCCCACTCCCGCATACCCAGCAAACCTTGGGGCTTCCCCCAGCCCATACTGCCCCACCCACCACTCCATGGTGACAGCCAACAGCCATGGGAGTGTCACCCCTGAGGCTCCTGCTAAGTCGTATCAGGCTCCTGGTGGCTCAGAGCCTCTCCTTGGTTTATAACCAGACTTTTGCTCCGAGAGTGTTTCATACATATTAATGTTCATATAGCATACAGAACTTTCTCTTTTTTTATAGAAATGGTATCATGTTGCATGACCCTTCATTTGCAATTCACTTTTTTCTCATTATCTTGGAGCTTGTTCGTTTTTACTTATTTATTTAATTCTTGGCTGCGTCGGGTTTAGTGGTGGCCCACGGGATCTTCGTTGTGGGTTGCGAGAGTTTTCTGTGCAGCCAGTGGGCACTCTAGTTGTGGCTTGATGGCTTAGTTACCCCATGGCATGTGGGATCCTAGTTCCCTCGCCAGGGATCGAACCCGTGTCCCATATATTAGAAGGCAGACTCAATCATTAGACCACCAGGGAAGTCCCTTGAAGCTTCTGTATTACTGTGGTAGATTAGCCTCACTGGTCTTCTAATGCTTAGGAATCGCACAAACTGAGTGTCCCACTTCACCCAATACAGATACTTGCTGCACTGGAAATCTTTGTGCAGTTCTCTCTTTTCAGAGTGACATCCAGAAGAGGGGCTGGAGTCAAAGGGCATGTGCTTCCCACATTTGGATAGGTTCTGCCTTATCACCCTCTAAAATACCAAGCTGTGCTCCCACCAGGAAGGCCCAAGGTCACTCATCTACCCACCCCGGTCCCAGCACTGAATGTTTGCCAGCCTGGTGGGAGAATAATGCCTTCACATCCTTTCTGCGGGGACAGCATGCTTCTCATGCATCCTGGGCATTTGCATTTCTTCGCCCCTGAATTATTTTATTTTTTTTAATTTTTGAAAATTTTATTAAATCTTAGTTTCGGCATACGGAAGCTTTGATCTGTTAGTTTTGGTTCCCTGACCCAGGATCCGACCTGGGCCCCCTGCATGGGGAGTGCAGTGTCTTGGCCACTGGGCCGCTGGCGAAGCCCCTTTGGTCTGTGACTCCTATGTTGTGGTTCTGTGGCTGTTCTTACTCATTTGTGGAGAGCCTCACACGAAGATGTGTGCCTCGCCCTCCCCACACTCCCTTTTCTCCTTCCCTGTTTTATTTTTTTCCATGACTGCCATCTGACATACTATATGTCTATTTCTTCATGCCTGTCCATCCTCACCCCATTAGAATGTCAGAACCAGGAGAGCAGGGATTTTGTCATTTTTCATGCCAATGTTTCCAGTATCCAGAACCGTGCCTGGCGCATAGTATGTGTGCCTAATTAGTCTATGAATGAATAAATGATAATCTTTTGTCTGTAATTTGTTTTTCAAGTACTTTCTCCATGTCTGTCACTTGATCTTTACCTTCACTTATGGTAAATTTAATTGTACAGAAACTTTTAGTTAATATGAGGTCAGATCTTTTGCTTTTTTTCACACGTGGCTTTTGTGTTCTGAATTTTGCTTCAGGCTGTTTTTACCCCAAGTTATAAAAACATTCTGGTATATAGTTTCCCTAAGGCTTGTATTTTTGGGTCTTATTTAAATGGTTTATTTCCCATGAAGTGTATTTTTGTGACTGATTGGAGATATAGGTCAAAATTTTTTTAATGAACAATATATTCTTGCTGAATGTTAAAAAGGCCAATCTTCCCTCTGTTGGTTTGAAATGTCTTTATCATTACTGGGTCTTTGAATTTCTAATTGATTCCTTTTGTATATTACCATGCCAGAACAACTCTTTAAAAATCATTAGACTTTTTAAATTTATTTTTCTATTAAGTGAGACAGGTCTCCCGCTGCTGTTCTTTTTTTTTTTTTTTTCCTTTTTTGGTCATACCATGTGACATGTGGGACCCTAGTTCCCCTGCCAGGGATTGAACCCAGGCCCCGTGCACTGGGAGCTTGGAGTCTTAACCATGGGACCATCAGAGAAGTCTTCCCCTCTCTGTTTTTAATTTTCAAAACTTTCTTCACTATTTTTGTACATTTTCTCTTTCAGATGAATGTGAAAACTAGCTTGTCAGGTCCCATGAAAACATCTTGTGATTTTGATTGTGTTGTGATCATTCACAGATCAAGTCAGGTAGGATCCAATATTTTTATGTCAGATATTCCTATTACAGGGCATGATATAATTAGCTTTATCACTTCCTTCATCTAAATTTTATAGCTGTCTTCATATAGGTCTTACACATTCCTGTTAGACTCAGTTCCAGGTATCCTACAGTTTTTTGTTAATATTTCGAACGGCCAAATTCTATTACAATTTCTCGTTGGTTTGTCTGGTGTGTAGAAAAGCAATTGTTGTATGCTGATGGTGTATCTGGTTCCCTTGTTGATTTCCCTTTTTGGTCCCAGTGTTTGTGAGATGATTCTCTTAGGTTTTTCTGACAAGCTGTCATATTTTCTGCAAATAATGATGATTTATTCTCTTCTCTGGGCTTCCCAGGTGGCTCAGTGGTAAGTAATCTGCCTACCAATGCAGGAGACACAGGAGATGCAGCTTGGATCTCTGGGTCGGGAAGATCCCCTGGAGGAGGAGGAAATGGCAACCCATTCCAGTATTCTTGCCTGAAAAGTCCCAGAGACAGAGGAGCCTGGCTGGCCACAGCCCATGGGGTCACAAAGAGTCGGACACGACTGAGAGAGTGAGCAAGCACACATGCATTCTCTTCTATATCTCTTTCTTTTTTGCTTTTTTTTTTTTTTTTTGCTGCATAGCATGCACGAGCTTAGTTCCCTGACCAGGAATCGAACCCATACCCCTTGCTCTGGAAGCAGAGTCTTAACCACTGGACCACCAGGGAAGTCCCCTACATCTCTTTCTTGCTCCACTGAAACATGGGTACCCCCAAAACGTGGCACCTTGTCCATCCCTGTGGGTTCCCTTATCCTGCTCCTCCTTCACGGAGATGATCCCAAGTTTCACTGATCCCTGTGAGGTTTGCTGGAGTTAAGAAGACTTCTGTTTTTCTGTTTGTATTGTTCTAAGAATGTCCTGTTCTTTAGGATGAATGTTAGATGGTATCAGTCGTAAACATCTAATCTATTTATTTGTTTTTGGCTCTGCTGGGTCCCCGTTGCTGCGTGGGCTTTCCTCGCGTGGTGGTGGCCTCTCCCGATGTGGAGCACGGCTCCAGGGCGCAGGGCTTCAGTGGCTGCGGCCCCCCGGCTCTGGAGCACGGGCTCCGCATCGGCCGCGCACAGGCCAGTCTCTCTGTGTCAGGTAAGGTCCTCCCAGACCAGGGTTCAAACCTGTGTCTCTTGCCTTGACAGGCAGACTCTTTATCACTGAGCCACCAGGGAAGGCCGGTATCAGGTTTTTGACAAGTCTGCTGGGTGTGGTGTAGACTGGGGTGTTAGCTGAGCCCATGTCTGCGCAGGATGAACAAAGCCTTCCTGGCAGTTAGGTGTGTCCAGGTGGCCACCTCCGGCCATTGGGTATAGGCAGAAGTGACTGCAACTTTCCTGAAGAGAAGGGAGCCTGAGCAGAGGGAGCCCACTCTCCCACACTCAGGAGCCTGCTGTTCCTTCATTATTTACATCATTACACAGCGACAGCCCTTCATAGTTTCCAAATCACTTTCTCGGACGGTGGCTCATTCAATTCCCACAACAGCCAGACGAGAGCCCTTCCCCAGGAGGCGCTGAGACTGGGGTGACGTGACTCACTGCGTCTGCCCATCAGCGCGCCCGCAAGGGGCTGCCCCGCAGCGCTCTCTGGGAAGGGGAAGACACCCGTCCCATTGTTGCTGTAATAGCAGTTTCTGTTTCATTTGTTGGCTGGAGCTATGGGGCCTCTTCCCTAACCCTAACCCTAACCCTAACCAACCCTGGCTTTCCAGGTGGCTCAGTGGTAAAGAAACTGCCTGTCAATGCAGGAGATGTGAGTTCGGTCTCTGAGTTGGGAACATCCCCTGGAGAAGGAAATGGCAACCACTCCAGTATTCTTTCCTGGCGAATCCCATGGACAGAGGAGCCTGGTAGGCTACAGTCCATGGTGTTGCAAAGAGTTGGACAGGACTTAGCGACTAAACAACAACCCTAACCCTAACGGGATCTGTTACTCCTGTTGGACGCAGTGTGGGGAAGCAGGCCTGGTCCCATGAAAGGTGAGGGTGTTGGGTGAGCCCGGCTGGCCTCGCCTCAGGGCTTTAGGGCAGCTGAACCCCACCTTGCCCTGTGCCCCTAGACCCACGTGGCCACTGCTCTGGGTGCTCCAGGGCCCACTGCCTCCAGGGCTGCTTCTTCGCTCCCTGGAGCTCTGGAGGATGGGGCGGTGGGAGGTGGGATTTCGCTGAAGATGAGCCTGGCAGCTCTCCATGACCTGCCCCTTGCCCCGCGGGACCCCAGCTTGGTCAGGGGTGTGGGAGGCCCATGGGGCTCTGGGGTTGGCCCGGGGGCAGGGTGGGAGCAAGTGCTGCTCTGGACGGCCTGAACAAAGCCATCCCCTCTGCCAGCCCCTGGCTGTGCACTTGGCCTTGTACAACTTACTTCCCCTCTCTGGGCCTCTGTTTCCTCATGTGGTGAAAATCCCTGGGCTGAGGCCTGGACGAGGGAACGCAGGGAGAGGAAGGCATGACTGTACACTTGGTGAGTTCCCGCCAACTCAGCCGGGCGGGCGTCTTTCCCTTCCCAGTGACCGCTACTGGGCAGCCCCTTTGGGAGGGCAGGCTGGTGAGTCAGGTCACCCCGCCTCCCTGACCCTGGTCGCATGCCCAGCAGGGGCAGAGTGAGCAGATGGGTGGCAGCAGTTGAGGGGGTGGAGACTCCCCTGGGTGGCACCTGGGGGCTCCATGGACCTTGGTGCTCCCGAGGGGGAGTCAGCGCTCCGCTAGGGCTCCCGGGGAGACTTCCTGGAGGCAGAGGTGAGGTGGGCTCCTCTCTGAGCCAAGGTGAAGGGGGCTCCCCTGGAAGAGGGAATCTGGCCCCCTATTTGTAACCACACGTAAGGGGAGTGGCTGCTGACTTCAACCAAGATCAGAAGCCAGGGGCCATGGAGGCAGACAGCCCAGCAGGCCTGCCGCGCATCCCCGGGGAGCCTCTCCTGCAGGTGTTGTGTGTGGGGGTCTGGGCCCAGACACACCTTGGCTGTTGGATGGCAGGACCAGTGCAGAGAGCAGAGGGACCTCATGGGGAAAGAAAGGGCTGTCTTTCCAGCTCGACCTTGAGCAGGCTAGGGAAAATCTCTGAGCCTCAGTTTTTTTATCTGCAAAACAGGAAGAATGAGTAATTCCTATCTCTTAAAGTGATGTAAAACCGATGAAGATGTGACGGGATATATCTAGCCCACGGGAGGTCCCAAAAAGTGTGAGTTTGGAAATTCTGCCAAGTGTTTTTTCATTTGCTTTTTGTTTTGGCTGTACCATGTAGCATGCAGGATCTTAGTTCCCCGACCAGGAATCTAACCTAGGCTTCCTGCTGTGGAAGCGCGAATCCTAACACAGGGAATTTTCCACCAAGTGGTTCTTGCTTTCAGCCAGAATGAGGCAACACCTACATGCCTGGGGCTGCTGAAGCAGAGCCAAGGAAGCCCTTAGGGTCTCAAGTGGGGCCATAGGAGGAAGGCCCTGGCCTTATCCAGCGCTGCTTAAGCTTCCAGGACCTGGGGAGTGTGGGACAGCTTCTGGGTGGTTCCCGACTAGGCCCATCAGCAAAGTGGCCGTTCTGGTCTGGAGTCCGAGGCCTGGGCAGAGGTGCCCGGTGAGTGAAGAAGGTGCTGTGTGTGTTCAGTCGCTTCAGTCGTGTCCTACTCTTAGCCACCCCCTGGCCTGTAGCCCTCCAGGTTCCTCTGTCCATGGGACTTCCCAGGCAAGAATCCTGGAGTGGGTTGCCATGCCCTCTCCTTCAGGGGATCTTCCCAACTCAGGGATGGAGTCTGGTCTCCTGTGTTTTGTGGCGTCACCTCTGCCCTGCTGCAGTTCCCCCCATGGGGCCCAGGCAAAGGCAGCACACCCTCCCCGCCCTCACGTGTCCCCAGGGCCCCTCCCTTGCCCTCAGCACCCAGACCAGCCGTGATGAGGCTCCAGCTCCCTGGGATCCTGGCCTAATGACTGTTGTCTTTGGAGCTGCACCTTGGGGCCCGTGGCCTTGTCCTGGCCTCCTGCCTGCCTTCCCCACTGCTGGGGATCTTATAGCTTCAGCCAGCCAGCCCTGCGTGTGCCTGGCCCTTGTCTGCTCAGGGAGACTGGGCCAGGGTCGCTGCTGCCGACACCTGGCCCAGCCTCCAGGGGCCTTTCCTGTCTCATACTAAAACGGCATCACTGATTCAATGGACATGAGTTTGAGCAAACTCAGGGAGATAGTGAAGGACAGAGAAGCCTGACATGCTCCAGTCCATGGGTTCACAAAGAGTCGGACACAGCTGAGTGACTGAACAACAACAAAACTGGAGGCCTGCCCCTGTCCCTAGGGAAACTGAGGCCAACACTCCTCGCCCCGGCCTAGCTGTGTGTGAGTCAGGCTGGCAACAGCTACAATCCAGAAAGGAGCAGGGGCAGCAGGGAGAACCTTTCCTGGTCGGGATGCTCGAGATGGGCATGGTGAGGATGTGGCCTGGCCCTTGGGACAGTTCTGGCCCAGCCGCCCTCTCCCTGGAGTAGGGGTTCCTAACTTGGGGCAGTGGGTGGGCTCCAAGGAATTGGTTGGTAGGAATGACGGCAGAGCCCAGCTCCCAGCGAAGCGTCCCGGGGGCACCTAGCACAGTGCCTGACAGGCAGGAAGGCCCCTACCTCCATATTTGCAAAATCATCGTGTTGGGCCATCTTGTTTAACCTCAGAGTGTGTGTGCGTACTCAGTTGCTTGGTCATGTCTGACTCTTGGCCACCCCATGGATTGTAGCCTGCCAGTCTCCTCTGCCCACGGAATTTTTCAGGTAAGAATGGGTTGCCATTTCCTGCTCCTGGGGATCTTCCTAATGCAGGGCTCCAGCCTGTGTCTCCTGCATTGGCAGGTGGGCTCTTCACCACTGAGCTACCTGGGAGGCCCAACCTCAAGGTGCTGCTGCTGCTGCTGCTGCTGAGTCGCGTCAGTCGTGTCCGACTCTGTGCAACCCCACAGACGGCAGCCCACCAGGCTCCCTGTCCCCGGGATTCTCCAGGCGAGAACACTGGGGTGGGGTGCCATTTCCTTCTCCAAACCTCAAGGTGACCTCCCTCTAAAGAGCAGCACTGATGATGGGGGCCACCTTGCACCTCGTGTGTGTGTGTGTGTGTGTGTGGGCACGTGTGCATGTACATGCGGCATGTGTGCACGTTTGTGTGGCATGTGTGCATGTATGTGACATGTGTGCGTGTGTGACGTGCGTATGTGGCATGTGTGCATGTGTGCATGTACATGTGTCGCATGTGTGCATGTACACGTGGCATGTGTGCACGTTTGTGTGGCATGCGCGCATGTATGCGACATATGTGCATGTATGTGTGAATGTGTGTGTGGCATGTGTGTACATGTGCCATGTGTATGGCATGTTTGTGTATGTGTGTGGTGTGTGCATGTATGTGTGAATGTGTATGTATGTGGCACATGTGCATGCATGTGTGGCATGTGTGTATGTACACGTGGCATGTGTACGGCATGTTTATGTATGTATGTGGTGTGTGTGTATGTGTGACGTGTATGTATGTGGCATGTGTGCACGTGTGTGGCATGTGTGCATGTATGTGTGACGTGTGCATGTATGTGGCATGTGTGTATGTATGTGTGGCGTGTGTGTGGCATGTGTGTGTGTGTGTGTGTGTGTGTGTGGCCCCAGAGGGCAGAGGTCACACCCTGAGGAATGGCTCCTCTCCAACACCTCACCAGTTGGACAGCCAACATTTTTCTGTGGCAGCGCAGACAGTGGGGTGGCAGTGCCGGAAGAGGACTGTCAGATCTGAGCTGCCCCAGTGAGAACTGACCCTGAGGACTTGTGTCCAGACTGGACAGCATTCCGTGTTATACAGAGTGGGGTGCTGGTTGTGCAGAGGTGAGGCTGGGGGTGCAGTCAGGTGAGACAGTGCAGGGGGCCCTGGAGCCAGGGAAGGGCTGCAGGTCTGTGGACTGGCCCCAGGGGCCACTGGAGTGGGGTGGCTCATGGAAGGTTTTCTGAGGGCTGTCCTGGGGCTGGGGAGGCCACATCCCCAGGGCATGTGTAAGTGTACATGGTGGTGGGCCAGGGCTTGGCTTTGAACATGTGTGATGGTGTGTGACACCATGTGTGTGAGGACAGGGTGTGAGTATGTGTCTCTGTGCATGGGTGTGCACCTGTGGATGTCCAGGGCAAGTCGCTGAGTCTCAATGGCTTCAGTTTTTTCAGGAGCTGTCATCTTCAAGGGCAGCATAATCTGATCACGGACCTTAAATCTCCCTATCCCATCCCAATCCTCCCTCTCTGGCCTCCATCTCAAGCCATCTGTGCTGCTCCGACCCCAGCCTCCACCCTAGGCTACTCCCCGGCCCCAGCTCCTGTCCGGCTGGGGTGCTGTGGGCAGCTTCGCTCCTGTCCCTAGCTCTCAGAATGTCCCTCTTCCAGTTGTCACGCCGAGACCTGGGGTAGGCGGGGACAGGGGGCGTGCACACAGCAGCCGGCCTCCCTCGCTGGCTCCTGAGTCCCGTCTGAAGAGCAGGTGTCCAGGCAGGGTGGGGCCAGGAAGAAGGGACAGAATGGTTCGGCCTCCTCCTCATTCTCTTAGTCAGCCGTCACC